ATTATTTATAAATTTTTAACGATCGAATTGAAAGAAAAAAATGAAACAACTTGACAAAAATTTTAAACGGATAAAATACGTACGTGTAAATCTATAATGTAATATATAAATAATAATGTAATTGCTCTGACTATTAGATTTCACATGATTACCCACAATTCCCTTCACATTCCCTTCATGCAGCAGCGTACCATATTATTCAACAACAAAAACTGCAGGTTGTTGTATCCCGTGGGGAAGAAGAATGGGCCTGGCCCATACTTTTACAAATATCTCCCTCCGTGAATTGCTCTGAGAGCAGGAAAAAGTGAATTAAGAGGGTTCTTGCCAAGAACCTCCATATAATATTGTTAGGATGAAAATGTAAAGTTAATAACCGCCAGTACAATTGAAATTTTCGAATGAACGTTTGCCCACCGGGCTGATTTGAATAGGTGTGTGCAGAGTGCAGACTAGGGCTTTTCCTCGTGGGCTCCTGATTCCTGAACGATCCTGATGGGCTATACTGAGTGAGAGAGAGAAAAAGCCTATAATTCAAGGTATTTCCAAGGCCATCTCCGGCCCATAATACCTTTACCTTGAAACTATGAGCCCACCTGGATGCTGAGGGCAGGCCTGCATGTGAATCCCCGGCCCAAAACAATCTTATTTTGTCGTTTTTCTATGGCACTCAACCGCGGAGGGAATGATGCGAAGGATTAGTCGGTGGAAAATGATGGACGTGAATCACATGCTGCATAACATAAGCATGAGATGATGACCGGTCAAAAAAGTAGCTTAAGATATATTGCTATCATATTCAAAGCCTCACCACAGTAGTTAGTAGTACTTTAATTAAGTAATTAATGGTGTCACGTTTATGGAGCAAAGTGTGGTCAAGGCCTCCAACACTTGGCCGCTAGATGATTCACTTCATTGGTGGCAAAATTGTTAAAAACGAAAAACCTCGGAATGGACAAAATATCCGAAATCGTGAATGTTCGTCTGACTTCGACTCAATCGGATATGATAAAATTTCGAATCCGGAAGATTTTTTAGCGGGTACGAATAAAATCCTTGTTCCCCTCTTTTGTTAATTTATTAGCAATTTTTCTGGACGTTGTGCCAATACCTTGTCTCTCCTATTGTTACTTTTTTGTTTGAAATAATACACACAACATCCAACAACAGTTATATCACTTAAGAGTATACTATAGTCCAGAAGTACATCAGTCTGTATATTTTCATTGGCTATCCTAGCTCCTAGTTGCCCAACTACCAAATTTATTAAGCCAACATGCAGTTTGAGATTATTGATGATAGCTAGCTGTCTAGCTATGGTACTAATGGTAGCCTTTCTTCAAATATTGATGATGATCATATGTGGCCATTGAGATTCTTCTATACTATTCTATCAAACTACTTTGATTGAGTGAGTGAGAGTGGCTGTTTTGTCATGCACATCAATCCCTAATATGGGAATTAACACATTCATTATGTTTGGTGATGCTAACCCTAATGTATATATATGGTTTGAGTTGAGATAAAAAGGTAAGTTTGCAGGTGATGCTGGTAGTGGGATAAGGCTGGGAGGATTAGGTGAAAAAATGATTGTCAAGATAGCATGATTGGGGTAAATGCAATGTTTCCACTTTTGAAGTTTTTTTCCTTTTGGCTAAGCTTGTAAATTTGATCCATATATGAGTACAAAATGGATCACTGTTTTAAGTTTGATTGTGGCTGTCTGGAGACCACTTAATTTGATTTGCTGTATGAAATGTGGCATGCAGATTAAAAATCATTGCCTAGATTTTTTTTTTTTGTGTTTTTTTGCATAATTGTTTGTTTGTGGGTTTTCATGATAAATTTTGTTGAATTTTGCTCAAATTGAGAATGAATAAAAGAGAATTTTTTTATTATCTAGGGATCTGAAAGAAGTACCACACAGTTTATTGGTTCGGTGAACAAAAAGAAGATATATCGTGATTTGCATAAAGGAATCAGAAGAGGCCGATGGGGATGTGTTTACTGTCTTGATTCGTTTCACCAGTTTTACTTACACAAATTCAAATTAATTTGTCTAAACAATTAGGGTTCGGTTCTAAGTACATGGATTTCACCAGTTTTACTTACAAAAAACCACGCGGCCGCAAAACTGGCTATTTTTCGATCTGCACGGTTAAACCGCTAACCGCAATGAAACTACAATCGAATTCCCACCCCCTAAAGCCAGCCAGCCAGCATCTTATAATCCAACGAAGGGATGATCAACCACCACGTCTGCATCTTCGTGGTTTTAACTGTCCAGTCTTTCTTCTAATTACAGAGAGCAAATGACGTTTGGACTTGTACAGCCAAGCCAGCCAGCACATCCTTATCACTAACCATACCCATTAACCCAAATTAATGGAAGATTATTGGAACAGCTTACAGCTTCTTATCGTGAACCCCATGTGTTTGTTACTATATACTTAAAGCACTGCTTTAAGGGTAAGTGTAATTTCGATCCTTTTGTGTTGGGGGTGTTACTAAATACTTGGCGCACAGACTAAGTAGGAGAGCGCACAATCGGCGATGGCAACACTCGGTACACGCTACAGGTATATAAGGGCTTGAAGCCCTCCAAAGAAGGGGGACTTCTGCCCTCTCTCCCCACTTTCCACTTTCCACTATCTCTCTATACTTCATCTCTCTATCGATTCTCTCAACTCTCTCCATAAACTTACACTAACTTGATCGTCGGAGCTTAGTCCGGGGGCATCCCCGACTCTTTCACAGGTTCTCTCCCTCCCGACGAGATCAGACGAACGGATCGTGAGTCAACCCCACACCAACAAATATCATTGTTCATACCGGAGTTAGATGGTTCAAACATTTTGTTAGTTAGGGAAAACGGGACAAAGTACGTAAACTAACCTCATTCAGTCATTAGCTCCCAGTTTTGAATCATCTTTGTATTTGATTGCCTTGCATTTCAGGTATAAAATGGTTATCCACACGCAGATGGAAAGTCATTACTAATCTCACTATTAATTGTTTCACTAAAAATTTGGCTTAGACTTCATGGTTCGATTATTATAGTTGAAATTTGGACGATTTTTCTGAGAGTTATGTAAAATAAGTAAATAACTTTTATGAGACAATTTTCAGTAACGTTATTTAGTTTCGAAGTAGACTTTCCAACTCTGGTATACCTAGTAATGCCAATTTAATCCTCTTGTTGGGGGGCTTAGGATAGGGTCAGTAACCATTGGTTATTAACTTATGAGTAACTAAATCTGGACCTTTAGATCTAAGTGGGTCCAGAAAATTCAGATATAAGGGTTGTCAATGAAAGGCATTTTATTTCTCCTCGTTTTATTAATCGACTCTTATCTACTTCGTTCTAACTCGGATTTCAATTTTTTTTTTGCACAGATGGAACGAGTTCGTTGTGCTCTACAAAATGAGATCAAATTTCAATATATTTCGAGAAACTTTTTTTTACCAACTAAATACCATATGATAACTTCTTCGTATTTAAGTTGTTTTTGAAAATGTTTGCTCAGAAGGAACGAGTTCATCATGATCTATTGGATCTATAAATTTCTGGGTGAAAAAAATATTGGATAAAAAATTATCATACTTTACCATTATGGTATGTGGGTGGTAACTTGTAGTAAACAATGATGAAAGTCGTAAATGACAGTTAGTATACTCCTACTATCATGTATTCAACTTTCTTACCATATTGGTATGTTCATACCATCATGGTACACTTTCTTACCATATGGTATTAAATAGGAGCATACCATATGGTAATAGATAAAACGGGAGAAAAATCGTTTGTTAAAGATTAAAAGGAATAGATAAAAGACTTTCCAGGAGAGAGAGGATACTGATGTAATGCTGATGTGGACATGTTACTCATGATTACTGACCATAGGGTTACTGACCTGATCTGTTTCCCTCGTTGGCTACTACCCAACCTTAATTATCCACGCAGGAGGGGTCAATACCAGACTCACAGTAGCGCGGGCCAGAACATTACATTTTATTCTTCTTCTTTTTTTAGGGAGAGGGCGGGAGAGTTACGGAACCAACAAAAATAGTAGTAATTAGGAGATATTGCTGAATGATAAGATGCAGTGTATGATCATCAGCGGCGGATCCAGGAGGGCCGCCCCGGGTCGCGGCACAACCCTCCTCTGGATCAAAACTAGTATAGCACTTGTATTTTTATTTTAATTTCGGTGTCCTATTTTCAAAAATGTGACACCATGCTCTACCCAGTCCTGAATCCGCCGTTGATGATCATTTACGATCTGCTGCTGGACAGTAGTTCTATCCTATCCTTCCTTATCTACCGTATCATAAGCTTCTTTTTCTTTGCATTTTTCAAGTAATATATACTTTGATTCCTTCTACCAAAAGGATAATATATTTTTGATTCATTCTACCAAAAAGGATTCTGGTTCTGGGAATGAGCAACTGGTCATCACGGGTGGCACTCAGGAGGTGTCCCAACAAACACATTCACCATCCATCCGTCATCATCATAAGCACAGGAATGAATATTTATGCTATTCCATCATCATCCCCTCTCAACAAATAAATAAAAGAATACAACTTTTTTGTGTCATTCCATCAACCCATTTGAAAGCAACACAACATGGAATCCAATCCAAATCTTACCCCAAAAATCAACACACTTTTGACAACATCCAACACCATCATCATTATCATCATTCAACTCTCATCCATTAGCTTTTCCTTCCCTCAAAAGCTTGTCTGTCCTTTGGCAATTTTCGCTTACCCCGTCGTCGACAGAAGCGGTCATTGACGGTCAGAAATCTAAATAAATGAGCTAAAAAAATAAGGAATCTGAACTATGCTTATTGAAAAGAGACTAAACCCTCCAATAGAATTGCGTTTTTCTACACCTCGTGAAGAAAAGATGTTCCTTTTTCACGAGTTCCCTCAGCTGAAAGGTAAGCAAAAACCCATACTAAAAAGGACAAAAAAGCAGAGCAAGAAACAGAGGAAGACAAAAGCTTTCACATCTCAATTGAGATGGAGATGAGGAAGAGGAGCAAAACTCCAAAATGATATGAATGATAAGAATATATAAGCTGACCCCTTGATGAACTCTTTTCTCTTCTTTTGTTCTTTTTTTTTCTGGGTTTCTTTTGTCCATGGAAGACATGGATCTTTAGAATATTACTATACCAATTCCGCGATACAATACAAATGCTCAACCTCAATGACATAAATATATAAAAAAGAAAAACTAATCCTGCAAAAATTTCCACGGCTTCCTTCCTCTGCAATTCGTCGTCGTTGTCATGATCTTCTTCTCGTGCGATTCGTAATTTCCAGTATTTTTGTTTCTTATTTATAACCCATTATATTGATCTTCATCCCATGTATACTTTTACTCTGCAAAAAATTCCGTGGAGTGGAGACAAGCACACTATACACCAACTTTCCCTGATCTTGGAGTATGACTCTTCCAGCTATAGTTCTCTGATTTCGCATCATCGTCGTCTTCCATGCTATCGCCTCCGGTCAGGGTTCCACCAAACTGGAGGGGACCATGTGGAGAACCAGACTGGGAGCTAGTAGCCTTTGAGGAGTCTCCATACTGCTCTTGTGAAGACATCCACAAACCCCCCAAAACAACTACAGATTGGTTTGCAGGAGTGTTGCCACCGGGTGCCATTCTCCGTGTATGCAGTCGGTATTTCTGCAAACCAAGCACCATCAGAACATAAGCAACGAACTCACATTCAAATAGCACGAAGGCCGATTAGTCTCCTTCTACAATCACTAATGAGAAAAAAGGCAATGCTTATACACTCACCTGCAAGTGGCTCTTCACTTCATCATTGGTCAGACCATCAACTTGCATAATCTCTCTTATCTGCTTAGGTGTAGCAGCTGCAGAAGACCATTCAAATGAGACTTCGAACCGAATGTAATACAAAAATTACAATAGCCGACTCCTACTTCATTTACTCATTCAAGCTAAGCACATTTCACTAGATCCAATGTTCACCAGTTTCCATTTAGCAACTGAGGGGGTTTCCACTGTAAACCCAACAAAATAAAAAACATACCAAGATCACAACCAGAATTTCTATCATCCAGACAAGGTTTTAAAGTGGCTAACCTGAAGAGCCTCCAAGCTGCTGCAAAGCATTGACAAAGCGGCGGTGAAGCTCTGGTGACCAACACCTCCTCTGCTTCCTAGAAGCCTGGAAAGGTGGGTGCGGTCCTCCATTATGTGAATTATTAGACTGGGAATTAGGTGGAGAAGAGGTTGCCCTGGAACCTGTTGACCCAGAATCCTCTGAGCTCTTCATTCCTGGAGTTAGAAGAGAGAGGCCAGGGACTCCCAAATCCTCTCCTCTGCCATTGTCTTCCTTCCTTGTTAATAAACTAGGAAAACACTTAACTGGCAAAGTAACCAGAGACCGGTTTTGACAAGCTGAGAATAATGAATCCTCATTTCCACATCGATTCCCCTTCTTGTTCACCTACCATAGCAAACAACCAAATTGGATAATAGAAGGTTCAGTTCCCATTCTCTTGATTCACTGTATTTAAATTCAATTTGTGTCATAATCTTCAATTTTGGTTTATGATTCTTATACCTTAGAAGATTCAAGTCTGAGATTTTGTTTAGCATCAGTACAAGCAGTGGCTGTGGCGTGATCATCAGAGCTCCACAACTGGACAGAGCTCATCCAATTTTTCTTGTCTTTAGAGGAGGAGTCTTTGTCATTCTTTATCCTAGAGTTGTCTTTACGTTCATCTTCATCTTCTTCACAGCTCCTCTTCAACGGGATGAACTCCTCCAACACCGGCGGTTGCTTACTACTAGCACAGCGCTGGATCGATTCCTTCACCACTATAATGGCTGCCCACCAAAAAAAAAAAAAAACAAATTAAGATCACAACCCACCATTCATATCGCCTCCAGCTGAAAAACCCAATTCAAATTCAACAGAGAACAAACAAAAACGACACATCCCACTAAAAATCATATCAAAACCCAAAACAGAAACCACAATCCTGAAACCAGAAACCACCGCATTCATTTCATTCCATTCACACATCACTCACCATCATTCAAGAGGAGCATGCAGAGAGGGAGCTCGCGCTTGAAGGCGTCGATCTTCTTCATCTCCTCCTGCAGCTCCCTCAACAAGCTATCCACTCTGGGAGCTTTCTCCGGCGCATCCCCGCCGATCGTCGCCGTCGAAGAACCGTTCCGGAGGAAATCTCCGATCGTCTTGGGGACGAACTTGGTCGACATCATCCTGAAATCCAAGCTCAGTTCCGCCGGAATCGAACCCATTTTTCCGGCCTCTTTCCCCCTTTCTACAAATGAAAACCGAATCTTCTTCCTCCGGCTTCCCCCCTCCTCTCTTATGGCGCTGAGAATCGGAGGCGTGAAACTACACAACACAGAAACGGCGAGATCTGCATAAATATATGGAAAGAGAGAGAGAGAGGAGCTGTGTGTGAATACTGAGAGAGAATCGAATCGATGGAGGAATGAACGGAAGGGAAGGAGAGGAGAGAAGATGAGGAGGACGAACAGAAAATATATATATATAAAGAAAAGGAAGCGTTTGTGTTTCTTTTTTGCTGAATTTCCAATGGCGTTTTCGTAATATTCTGGAAAAGACGGGGGCGGTAATGTAAATGCGGAGGAGGGACGCGAAGATTCTGTTGCGGAGATTTTCGGGTTGGAAACAAAATCTCTTTTATTTTCTCTTTCTCTCACATCGCATCGAGTCCTCGCATATTTTATCTGTCTGCCTATTTCACCGCCCGCCGAGTTCACTCGCTCCAACCCAACTCGGTCTCCATTTACAAAAAAAAAATTTCGTTGAATCATTTACAAAATTTTCACTGTGGTAAAAAATCCAAAAAATAAAAATTACCCGAACGCCAGAAAGGGAAAAAAGCTTAACCAGTTCTGATATTTGTTACTTCTTTTCTTGTAGGAGTATCTCTTTTATTTTAATTCTAATTTGATGGTTCCGAAGACGATTAATTTTCACTACGAGTGAAGTGACAAGAAAATAAATAAATAAATAAAATTATCATTGCATTCAATATCTAAATCTATCGCAAATTAGAAAACTGTGTATTCTATTATTGCATCGATCTGTTTGAATATTCAAACTTAATGTTAATTACTGTTATCATACCATTGATATTTACTTCAATAATCAAGAAGAAAAAAAAACTACTTTGACAATATTAACATGTTCACATGATGTTGTTACGTACCTCTGAAAAGTTCCGGCTTCGAAATCAATGAGAAAAAGAGTTAATTTAGGTTCATTTTCACAATGTTGACTATATATCACGGTTCTTTCTATTTATTTATTTATATTTTAGAAACTGGGTTACTGTAAATTCAACTCCTCGAACATTGTCTTTATAGAATTATTTGTTGAGATAAATAAGTAACGAGTCGTTTATATCAACTGCATACGAATTTTTAGAAGGAGGTGAAGATATCTTTCGTCTGACAAATCAAGTACTTCTTCCTTATCCGCTTTTATTTTAGTTTAGATGTATAGAAGTTTAGGTACAGAGGCTAAGCTTCTTGGCATGAACATATATGAAAAAAATGAATGTAGCTTTCATTGTCAACCTATATGTAGATAAACAAGTATAGATAGATACCATTTTTATGGTTATGAAAGAAGGTAGTCCTAAATGCACACCAAGAGCAAGCAACTTCTTCACATGGAAGGGTGGTTGGTAGCATTTGGTATCTTTATCTCCCTCCCATCTTTAATTGTATTTGTTTTGTGAGGATGGGGGAAAGATTAAACTACTAAAATGTACAAAACTTTGTTTAGGGGGAAGACCTTTTTATGTGATGTTATATTGATATGATTAACTAACATTTACTCACACCCTATCAATTGTAGTTTGTTAAAATACTTTTATCTTTTCTCTTTTGACAACTTCTTCCAGCATGGAGTTCTCCTGGAGTTCAACTTTTAGAGATTATCTTGTTTTATAAAATTGGATCAATCAATTATAGAGGTGAAATTTGCATGAGATGTGAAATTCAAGAAGGTGGTTCTTCTTGCAGCAATTGCAAGCATGTCATCGTATCAACCGTACAAGTTAGGACTTTGCTATGGTGACATGCAAGTCACCATAACTTGGACAAAACGGTCGACCTCTTTACAGATATGGTCGACTTATTTGGACAAAATGGTCGACCTGTTTGCTGGAATGGTCAACCAGATGTATTATTTTTCATCTTGATATGTTCAACAAACGGTCGACCTCTTCCACTAAAAGGTCGACCACTTTCAAAAAAGCGGTCTACCACTTCCTTCAAGTGATTTACCTCTTTCACTAAGCGGTCCACTGCTTTCAATAACTGGTCGACCTGATGAACCATTGATAGTGATATAATCATAAATAATTAGAGTCCAATAATAATAGATATGCTCCCTAGTAAGAGATTTAAAATTAGTACAAAGGCTGTAAGCATAGACGCCAAATTTCTCGAGTGATTGTTCTCCCGAAGATTTGGAAAATGTTTTGCATATTTATTTCTTATATTTGACTTACTCTATAGAAACTTTCATCTTTCCTTCAAATTCTAAGTTCGCTTGCTTTTTATCCTATCACTGTCTTGTGACTGGTTGCCTCAAGTGATAGACCACTTTGGTGGAAGTGGTAGACCATTTCCTTGGAAATTGGTCGACCTCTTGGTGGAAGAGGTCGACCATTTCAAAGTAAGTGTGTTTTACAGGTCGACCAATTTCCTAAAGCGATAGACCGGTTGACCCAAGTGGTGGATCACTTGGTGGAAGTGGTAGACCATTTTCTTGGAAAGTGGACGACCATTTGGTGGAAGAGATCGACCACTTGAAGATAAGTGTGTCATCAGGTCGACCTATTTTCGAAAGCAGTAGACCGATTGACTCAAGTGATAGACACTTAATGGAAGAAGTCGACCTTTTTTTCAAATTACGGTGACTTGCAAATCACTATGGGCATACCCTACAAGTTATTGGCATGATGACATTGGTATCACACCTTTGCACTTTCACTCTCCGCCGTTCACAATATGTTTTCACGAAGAATGAATGATCAGGTCTACAACAAGGTTCTGAGTTTATTACCGTGCTATACAAATGCTATATCACCATATTTCCAGCAAAAGTCTGTATGCTGCTATTTGGTCCAACGGTAAAATTCCCCATTGAAATAGTCAGGTTGTTGACATTTTATTAACCCTCCAAAGACCTCTGCCCATTTTCACACAATTGATCTTTTTTTAGTATATTATATTTTGAGGTCAAGTAGTCAAATAAGAGGGGTACGTAATTAATTAAATTGGCGGCATTGGTACGACAAATAGGGGTGTTGATCGGTTCGGTTTGGTCCGATCAAACCAAATCGAAACCATGAGAACCCTAAAATGATAGACTTTTCCCTCCAAAATCAACATGGAAACTTCTAAACCCTTTGTAATAGTTACGGTTATAGCAAGATACGGTTTTAGTTTCTTATCGATTTACAATTTAAACAAAAGCTATTGAAATACAAACCGTTTTGGACCAAAAACCAGAAACCAATAATATTCTTATCGTTTTGGTTTCGATTTAGACCAAAAAAATCGAACCCAATCTCCCAGCCCTGGCGACAAACTCATTAGAGCCAATGACGTGACTCACGTGAGCTTATTAGCTATGCTCACATTGTCACCTAGAAATATTTCTCCGAATAAGAATGGTGACCAGGAAAAATCTGAGCATGATTCAACCGTTTCGTAAGCGCTAAAAATCACCTACCAATTTAGGCTCGAACAAGAGAATTTTTGACCATATCGTCAATCACAAACGCTGCTACAAACATGTATTTGCTAGAATAATACCATAAAATTTAATAAATTACTTTGAAACATAGGTCAAAAAGGGTAGTCCATGCCCTACCCCTAGCAAAGAAAGAAGAACCCAACCAAGGGCCACCAAAGATGGAATATTGTGCTGTGGCCAAGTCGTCAACCAATGGCCATTGGAACAACAATTTCTTATTATTGAACTTTTAGCAATTAGATAAAGATATTGAATATGTCAAACTCATAATTATTTGCTCTAACTTCGACTCGGTAAGATTCTTCCTCTTTAGCCTTTTCTTGGGTTCCAATTCAAAAGGGGGAATCCTTCATTTTTTTAAATCCTGCAGGAATCAATTGGAATTGATGGGTTACAGGGAAAAAATAAATTAAAACATCATTTATTTAATTAATTAATATATTTTTGGCCCCAAAACCATTTGTCATCTTTACATCCTTTTCCAACTGTCCACACCAACACCCCTCAGCTGCGGAATCTGAGGGAGGAAATGGAACAACTTTTGCTTGCTTATCTTTCTTTGATGGACATAAGGTATTATTATATTTTTCAAATATAAACAAAAGATCAGCACAGTGTTTTTCCTCTATCTCTAACCCAATCGAGTATTTGTAATATTGTATCGTATTTGATTGGTCAGTAGCAGTTAAATCATGTATCGGTTGTGAGCCCAGTAATTTTATGGCAGGAAGCATGAACATTTTTAACATGGTTTCTCCGAAAATCAGGACTTGCTCATGATAGAGATAATGCTCTGCAAGTTTTCCATTTTTACTTGGCTCGCCTCGGTCGAACACTTTTATTGTATAGGTTTACTCGACAACGGAATGAATCCGAGTACGCCCGAGGTTTCCATTATTGTTGTTATACTTAATATTAGGTTAATTATTATTACGGTTATTGGTAGAGTAGTATTATATTATTTAACATAATTTTCAGCTATTTTTCTACAAACATGTACTTGACAAATTACGTTTTAGAATTAATCAAGGAAGTTTAGATAGAAAAGTATATCAGACGATAATATCTCATAATCCTCTGAAATCTCATCTTTCTTTCACTAAGGTTGCCGGCCATTCTTCCCTCTTCTACACGCAGTTATATTCTTAAATCTCTATTCCTCCAAATTATGTTCATCCCCAAATCTCATTCTCGATCCATAATTCTATCCCTAAATCCCCATTTCAGTTCGACACTCCAATCACATAGTTTCTATTTTCTAAAAGCAACAAAACCTAACACTAACTTAGTACGAGTCACTTATCGTTATAAGACACATTACAATAAAGTCATCACATTAAACATAGTCGACATTCTTCACGATGTCATAATAATTTTACTGAAGATTTGATATTATATCTTTAATACACCTTACTCCGTCCGTGTATGAGTCTCAACGATTTGATTTCCCATACAACTTATCAGTATCATATGAAATGGTTTGTGGAATATTAAACTGTTAACAGATTTCCACCGCCGGCATGAGCACTAAAGAGAATGCTAATGGTAAGATAAGTAGGATGTTAGAGGGGAGAAAACATATCACTCCATCCATCGTCTTAATTGTTAAATCGCACCAAAATGAGAATTATGGGAAGTGAAAAGATTGGTTAGAATATAGCATCTCATTAAAACACTATATTTTGATTTTCCCATGGAATGGTTCTGTACGTCCAGCAAAGAACGCTGTCGATGCACGGCAAGATTCTATTATGGAAAGATGTAGAAAGAATAATTTAACTTATGATTTATCAATGCTATTCTTTGTTGATTTTTTTATATATAATTACCCTATGTTAGGAATGACCTATAATACCTTAGGTAAATGAACAAAGTGCATGAGATCTCCATGTTTCATAAGGAACAATTGAATTTTAACTGACAAGACGTGTTTTGGAGTGAAATTGATGAGTTCTTATGAGTCATGAGAATTTAGAAGTTAAATGTACTTAGTGTGGAGTAGTGCAAAGATGAGTGATCTCCTGGAAAGTTATTATGATGTACCCCAAAAAGCAAAAACGTGGGGGGATAGACCCAAAGCGTGCAATATATTGATAAAGAAAAGAGTTGAGATGTTACAAGTGATATCAGAGCCAATTTGTATCTTCGTCCTTATTAGACGGTCCAGAGCGAGTCCATGATTAGTTGACAAAGATTTCCCACGTGATGATCACGTCGTCTGTGGCATACGCCTTGCACATCCAATGCCACCATTGGTTGGCATCGCCCTCGAGATGGCAAGCCGCTAGGAGCATCTTCCGATCTTCTTCTACGCCTTGGCAGTCGAACAATTGATAGATTCATGAAAACCACTAGGCTAGATCATCGTCTGCAAAGCGCGAGAATTCGGCTTGGTAGAATGCGTCGAAAACATGGCTCGACCCATATCATCCACTCGGTGTTGTCGAGTAGGTCGGTCTTCTCGTTGACGGAACTGATGGCTTGAGATGGAGGATGAATGCTCTATCTCTAGTGTTTCATAGGCACAACAGATGAAGTTTTTCACGGTACCACTAGCAAGTGTATGTTGACATGGAGGGTGTACTGGACGACTTCTTGAAGACTTCGTAAGGTTCCTTCGAGGAGGTCAACATTCTTCTTAGTGGTTTCCTTAGCAACGCCAGTGACAGACAAATTCATCATCGGCTCTGATACCAAATATTAGAACCGCTATGTCAAAGGGGTGATTTTGTTCTTCTTTTTCTGGTGAGAACCTGTGAGTTTGAGTGACGTGTGATACTCAATAATTGACTCCCTTCTTTTGTTTCTTTTGAATTCATCATATAGGGAGCCTATGTTTAACACCTGTGATCGGATGAATATGATCCTAATATCCAAATCAAAACAAACATAACTGGCGCAACGAAACCGGAGTAGTTAAATATTCTAACTTCTATGTTGAAGGCAACGAAATCTTCTCCCTTCGTGGATCGTCTTTAGTCACGGGAAGAACTGCTCTAGTTGCATGAACTGCATGGCCTAATCATACAACGGACGCGGCTTAATCGTCTAGACTCATCATAGCTCTCTCATCATGAACATCATTCACTATCTCAATGAACAAATGGAGAAAATCTAAGATGTTGAGCATACGATCAAGATCGCAACTCAATCGTGTTTTAAAATCCCACAAATAGGTTGTTATTGTTATATCCACAGGAAAGGTAAAGATGCCAATCCATTCGATCATCAGGCCGATAAAGAAGACACCCTTCTTCTCTCTTCTCTTCTCCAAAAGGACAAAGCTTTTCCAGCCATTAGATTCCTTTGTTAAATTTTCATGCCTTAGAAAGAATCTTTTTATCTCTCTCTCTTTCGTTTTTCTTTAGATGGGATCCACTCACTAAATAGTGTTTAAATCGTATCAGTTTTAAATTTTATTGAATAATAAATTAATAATTATAAATGGAAGGTTTAAAAATTGGGAAAGGAATCTACCATCATGTGAAACGTGTCGCTGTGGATTTGATTTGGGATTTTGGGATCCCACTTTTGTTTTGTTTGTTTTTCCCGTTGCCGGCCGGCCGGCATCTTCCTTCCTCGTTTTCTGTCTGTCGGATGCTTGCACCCGAAGATTCTTCTCTATGCGCGGCGTGCATTTTCCCCATTTTCTCGTTCCTTTCCCCATTTTACCCATTGTATTTTTTTGTTTGTAAATAGTTTTATGAAATTAAATGTTTTTCGACTATGGATCAAGTTTTTTTTCTACTGTTACCTTATAACCTTAGTATGATGTGAAATTTTACAAATTACTTTTAACGTACAAATTGAAGTTGTAAATTTAACGTTGTGGTACAATTTTAGGTAATTTCGATATTCTTTTGTAAAAATCTCTTTTATGGTACAAACTAAATTTGTACACTTAAATATCATAATAATATAAATGTACAAATTCTCTTATGGTACAACATGAACTTGTACACTTAAATCTCAATTTGTACATCTAAACATCAATGCTTTAAAACATAGTATAATAAGTGCTCTAGTATGACACAATACAAAGATTTTGATAATATCATAAAATCTTATACTGAAACTTCAGGATCTATCATAGAAACATAATGTAAATCAAAAGAAACACATTGATTTTTATGAGTAAAACCATCGATTAAAAAGTTTCTGCCTATAGTTGTAGAAAAGACCAACATGTATTTAAGTGCACAAAATAAAATAAAATGTTCTTCTGTTAGTAGTGTTACTCTCAACATTTAACAAATCGTAAAGATAAATGCTGAGAGATATTTGTAGTTAATCACGATTTATCTTCATGATCGAAAAAATGGGAAGGACATTTAGACAATTCTAGAAAGATACCTTCCTCTGTGATATGAGAAAAGGGTTTTTCTTATTAAGCATGAATGGGGCTGTTATTAATAAGATTGATCAAGATCAGTCAAAGAGAATAAGATTCTCTAATCTCTATAAAAAATTCTTGTTGGCCTCTCTATTCAATATAATTATGGGATCTGATGGAATTGAAAGCCAGTTCATATATATGGGCCATAATAAAAAGAAAATAATGGTTGAAATTAACATATACGGCATGGCATCAACATGTAATTTTCAAGGTTAGTTCATATTTAATGCTAAAGTGTTTAAGACCAATTAGTGTTTGCAAAATTGTACTGTGCCAGAAGTCTGATGAAAAAAAAAAAGTAATTATGAATTCTAAGATGAAAAAACGATTCTGACTATATAAAATGATTGAACTACAATTTCAGTAAAAAATATCTTATATATTAATCTATAAAATTTTATAATTCTTAGGAAAATATCGAAAAACTAGCATGGAGAACCGATCGAGGAGAAAATGTGGGGCAGCTAAAAACAATATTAAAAGTGGGAAATGCGTAATGTTTATTTTCTAATTGACAAATTGAATTGAAAAGCCAACCAATTTGGGGGGGATCGATGTTCATATGGCCAACGCAGAGCATCTAGAATTTCATGTGTGAGGAATTTTTAAATCACAGGATTCTCTCAAGAATCCAAGAAAATGGCATCTCTAATCTATTTTTCTAGCTATAGCTTTTCCAAATCCAAGGTGACCTCATCCATCATCATGCTTAATCCAATTTCCACCCTCTTGACCCTAAACTATGTTATCTCTTACACCTTTATGTAATTTGACTTTGACTAGTTAAGTTAAGATGTTGAATTGGTTTATGGAGTGTGCCCAGCTTTGCATAGTAGCCGCATAGGCGTTGTGAGCGCATAATTACCTGCCTAGCGCCTATGCAAGACGTTTTTCACTACCTAACGCCTAGACGTTCGCAGAATAAGTCTTCTTGAAGCTTGATTGTGACTAAATTTATCAGTAGTTATACAACAACTATTGCCTAATACATTCAAATATGGGAGGAGATCTTAATGAAATTAACAAGCATAAACAACACCCAATGCACCAACTCATCTTTCCCCACCTCTCTCTCTCTCTCTATCTCTCCAAACCCAACAAGCATCTTTCATGTGATAGACACTAGTTCATGGCATTTTTGTGACTCCTCTTCCCCCCACATAATTAAGAGAGGAAGAAAACAAAAGGGAAAGAGAAGGGAATCTTTCAAAATAATAGAGATCGTGTCTCTGTGTGTGCTTGTTGAAGAGTGGAAGTGGTAGTGGTACTACTAGTCATTGTAAGGGTAATTCTCATCTAGCTAGAGTTGTGTTGGAGGGATGTCTTTGTCCACTTTTAGGGAGGTATTTGAGAAGCCAAACCAATTATATATATCCAATGCTTTGCTATAGTACATATCACCACTCAACATAAATGAAAAGGAAAAGAAAACTTGCCAACATCAACGTGTTTCCTTTGTCACCCATTATTATCTGTTTTTGGGTTCTCATTTTCTCATCCACATATTGTTGGGGCTCTGATTCTGACTTCTTCGTTCGATCTTCTCAGGTGTGGAAGAAGTCTGTGGAGGGATGGGGATGATCTTCGTGATCTGCACTTTAATGTCTGAGCTAGTACGGTATAAAGATGAATGTAAAGTAAAGTGTGTTGAGAGAACATGTAGAGAGAAAAGAGTTTAGAGAGAGAGACCATGTGTGCTGAATGTGGGAATCGAATTGAGGATCCTTAGTTTGGAAGTGTTCTTATATAAGAGCTTGAAGCTTCTTAAGTGAGAAGCCTTAGAATGGGCTTGGTTTCTAGGTAAGAAAAAGTCTTGTAGTAAACTTAGACCCATTAAGTGAGTGATTTAGAAACCACAGGGGGAAAAAACTAGTGTGCTATTTGGCGTAAGATCTAAGAACTAAGAGGAAAGGGAAAATGACAGAGCAAAATGAAAAGGACATCTCAATCATCTTGACCCGTAGGAATGATATCAATTTCAGCCATTGAATAATAATAGGGTAAAGAGAAGAGAGACAGCATAATGAGAGAGAAAGGGGGAGACCATTGAATACCTCTTTATTCATGCGTGTATACATTTCAATCCACATTCTACAGTACAATGATAACTCTTCCAGCTTTGCTAGTGCATATGAACTCATCTCTGTTTGATTTGTTTCCAGCAATAATAATCGAGAAACCGTACCGAAAGTTATAACGAAAAGGTTAGTTCGGTATCTGATATTTTCCGATCCTACCGACCTATAGGGAAGGATTTCTAAAACATTGGTTTCACCCTTCTAGGTAACGCATAGTTAACACAATTGGACCCTCAATCTATACGAATGGCTTGCCCGTAGTTTGGATGCATCAAATTGCAAATGTAGATATTTGAAGAAACGTTTGTATCTTTCTGAATAACTAAAAGGAAGAGTGCTCTCTTTACTCTTCCTTTTAGATTGCTTGCTTTCTTTCTTCATCATCTGTCCTTTTGCTTCATGTTCCTGTCCTGGCTTAGTTGTAGGCTTGTAGCCATCCACCAGATGCTAGACTTTGAGTAGGAAGTTCGAACTTTTTCACCTCGATCGTACGAAAATTTCACGATACGCTGCATCACAAATTTAACGCGCGAAGTAACTTTACGTGGTGAGTGGTGACGCACAATGAATAACAGTAAAGCTAGTCTTCCGTATTGATTATGCGTGACGCTATTAGAGGTCCCCCGAATCCCAGGTGATCAATAACACAGGTCATCACGAAAAGCAAGGTCACAACCACAGAGAGACATGGCGTCGGCCTACTGATGTGTTCTGTTCGAGCTACACAGGCCATGGTAGAAACATGGCTCAATAAATCAACCAAAATTGCAATGTAGCTCAATACGGGCACTTCATCGAAAGGTTATCGAGACGTTATCCTGGGACTCACGCATCTCACATATCTTAACCAGGGTTTATCATCGATTTATACCAAATGAGCAAATATAAGTAGAGCAGCCGTCGAAGCTATGATGCTCCCCTGCATTGTTTCGACCATGCATCGTAGAACTTCACTTGCTGCAAAAGAACCCAGGATGAAGCAGTGGGAGTTAAGATTTGAGACAGGGCATTGATTAGCATTTAGCAATGCTCTTTTCTAATCGAAGTTGTTGGGACATGTTAACATAGTGGATTGATGAATGGATCATCAAGATCTTACCCTGTCCGTCACAGATGGAGAGATCTTTTCCAGTGCCTGATCGAAATGACTCGGTTGGATTGTGCAGAGGAGCATCTTCTCCTCATCTGGATTCCCGCTTCTCGTAGCCTCCTTAAGAGCAATCATCGCAGCATCCTCCATCTGCCACAAGCAGAGAAGCACGCGATATCAATCTTAGATACCAATAATCAATCTCATAGCATCTTAAGGAATCATTAGCATAGAACTGTGTGGACTACAAACCAGCTTATTGAGATCCGCTCCGCTTAATCTTTCACAAGCTTTCCTCTTCCCAATTTCTGTTAAGTCTATGCTTGGATCAATAGGTTTCCCCCTAGCAAGAGCCTTCAAGATCAGCCCACGATCCTCTGCACTTGGCAGAGGAACCAAGACATGGTTGCCCAATCTGCCGGGCCTCAAGATAGCAGGGTCTATAACCTCAGGTCTGCAGTGCACAGAAACAACTACTTCAGACATCAGGTGGAAACAGAAGAATACTGGGAGTGTAGAATACAGGACAGACAAAAGGAGGTTTACCTATTAGTTGCACCGATCACAAAAACACCTTGGCGCTGATCTGCACCATCTAACTCTATAAGCAACTGCAGTGAAGAGAAGGGGAAGTTAATTTGAAACCCTCTCAAGTAGGAAGTAAGTTAAGTACTTCAATAATTAAATTACTTATTATTATTCTGTTGAAACTTTTGATTCAATGAATACCTGATTTAGAGGCCGCTCCACAACCCACCCACCTTCCCTTCCACGGGTTGTTGTCAAGGCATCCACCTAAGGGGAACACAAATGAACCATAACTTTTTATTAATTCAATGGTACATTAGCTGTTTAATGAGGAATCAAATCATTCATGCTTCAAATTTCAAATTATTTACCTCATCAAAGAAGATAATACATGGTGAGCAATGCCTTGCACGGGCAAATAGCTTTCGAACTTCCAGCTCACTTTCTCCAACATACTTATTAAGAAGCTCAGGACCCTAAACCATGGTGGAACACATAATAAGAAGTGATGTGTTTCAATGATTCACGCTGACAATATAACATTAAGATGACACAAAACAGCATTGGAGAATAGGGTTTGAAGTCATTACTAACCTTGACGTGAATGAAGTTAGCCTCTGCTTCATTAGCAGCAGCCTTGGCCATTAATGTCTTACCACAACCTGGAGGACCGAAAAGCAAAATTCCTGTCTTTGATGACACTCCAAAATGCTGAAGGTCCAGTAAATCAGGATTACCGAGTCAGTGAGCAATTTCAGACAACGATTATTTGAAGTCGAGAATTATGTAGTTCAGTATAGCCTAGCAGTCAACAAGTCAAAGATAGTGATAAATAGTCTGACATACCTGATACAGTTTTGGATTTTTAATGGACTGGACAACATAATTCTTCAACTCATTCCTGACGTTATCAAGTCCTCCAACTTCATCCCATGTTACATTTGGAACAGAAGAGAATCCCTCTCTTGTCAATGAAGGTTGAACCATTTTAGCTGCAAGCTTTAGAACCAACAAAGCCAGTAAGATAGAAAACATAAATTACTAATAGCAAAGGGATAAAAGACGCCTTTCAGTGAACTCTAATAGCTTGAATCTGAGTTCACTCAGCTCTTTGCGAGCATTGTCTAAATCAATGCCAAAAATAAATGTAGCCAAGAGGATAAAATGTCCCATACACTGAAATTTATGGAAGGAAAGAATAAACTCAATCCAGCTCCATGATTTTCATACCTCAAAATCACACATTGTGATGGCAAACTTTTCCATCTCCTGCTCCGACCAAGGCATTCTCCACCATTCCTCAATTTGCCCACCACTAGGTTCTTCAGATAATATTGCAGATTTCCTCAGTGCGGAGATTCTTCTCAAGGCAAGGTTGCCTGCTTTGCTAACTAGAGCATCTAAATCAGCTCCCACAAAGCCTGGAGTAAGCCTAGCTATTTGCAAAAGATCCAATGAGCCCTCGAGAGTGCACTTTTTGGTAAGTACGGAAAGAATGTGAACCCTAGCATCCTCATCTGGGACCCCTAACATAATCTCCCGATCAAATCTTCCAGGCCTTCTTAGTGCAGAATCAATGGCATCAGGCCTATTGGTAGCTCCAATCACCAGAACATAGCCAGCTCTCTGTTCTGAGCTTTCTGGCTTCGAATTATCATCAGCTGGTTGCACAAGTTTATGGTATTCGTCCATGCAAGTCATCAACTGAGTCACGATTCTCCGCTCCATCTCCCTCTGTAGATTTTCCCTTTTCGAACCAATTGCATCGATCTCATCAATGAAAATGATCGATGGTGCAGACCTATATGCTTTAGAGAAAAGATCTCGAATATATTCCTCCGATGCACCTGAAAATTCATAATTCAAACAGCTTCACTCAAATTAGTATCCTTTTCCCTACCAAGTACACAGACATCTCATCTAAACTATTGGCACTTATATAGACAAAAGGTGCAAGTACATAACTTCACCATCAATTCTCCAAATTCTGTATTCTACTATTCTAGCACTGGTTCCAAAGACAGCTAACCTTAGTTACTCTGCGCAGCTTATGAATGAAAATATGGTGAACTAGAAATCCATACCTGACACACCAGAGACAGCCTCCGTAGCTGAAATCTTGAAGAATGGGACTCCAGTCTCATTGGCAATGGCATGAGCCAGCTTAGTCTTTCCACAACCTGGTGGACCATGGAGCAGAACCCCACTTATCGGCTTCACACCAAGGCGTCGCATCAAATGGGGATGGAAGAGCGGCATCAACACCTCAGTCTCCAAATCCTCCAACACTTTCTTCAATCCACCGAAATCCTTGAAACTCGGCCCTTCCTGTCCTTTCACCTCCATATTATCCCTGCTTAGAGCTTTCGCCCCAAGGTTTACCCCTCTTGCTCTTTTCCCTTTACCTCCATTGGCCACCGCAATCTTGTCTTTAGAACTACTGGCTACCTCAACCTCAATGTTCTTCTCCGGAGCGTAACTGTGTCGCAGCATCGATCTCATCAGATCGAACTCAGGCTCCACTGGCTCCCCATAAACTCCGTCCTCCGACATAGACGACGGCGTCGATTGGGACTCCGACTCTGACGGCGACTGCCGCTCTTGATCGCTCACGTCAACCCTAATCTTCTTCTTCTTCCTCTTTCTGCCACTGGCGGAAGCACTCCCTTCGTCGTAATCGCCTTCCTCGTCTTCCGCAGGCTGTTTGTCGAATCTTCTAGGCCGGCCAGGGGATGGCGACGACGGAGAGTCGATGACTTGGTGGACGAGTCTAGCTAGTTCTCGCTGCTTCGTGCGGCGGTAGTTGGGGTACTGCTGCCGGAGATGGTGGACGATGTCGTCGGCGGTGGAGCATTTCCTCCTGCACGATTCAACCTGTTGTCTGAGTATTCTCTGGTTTCTCCCTCCGCTTCCTCCGCCGCCGCTGCTGAATCCCCGTCCGGTTCCCATCTCCTGCTTCGCCGTTTCCTCCCACTGTTGTCTTTTGTTGAATATTTTCCGCGCCACAGCAGGACAGGCAGAGGTTATAGGGTTTAGGAGAATTGGAAGCCGGCGCCTCCATGTCCCAGAAGAACTTACAATTATTTGTCATCCTTTCAATTTTATTAAAATTCAAAATTTCAGCATCAAATTTTAGTTCACTTCCCATTTAGCACCCAAAGACTTCGCTTGTCACGTTATAGCTCTCATATGGACTTAGGGCTGCTAATGAGTTGAAAACTTGAGATGTTAAGAAGTGGCTCGAAACTTGATTCGAAAAAGTTTGAACTTGTTTATTAACTAGTCGGGTTTAAGCAAAGTCTTGTTCAGCTTATGAGGCTTGCGAAGCAAATCAATTCGACTACTGCCTTATGAGAAAAATTGCTCTTTGAATATGAAAGTTTTCTCTTATGGTCCCTTAACTTTTATATGCATTTTGATTCATAGTTTTAAAGTTATTATAATTGGGAATGAATTTTCAAATTTCGATAATTGAGATTCAGAAACAAATCTTTTGATATTCTCAGCTTTAGTTCCTTCCCGATTACCAGTGAATTTCATGGATCAATACCTTCGAGCACCATTTTGATGTCCATTAGTGGTTCGGTGGGGTCATTATCTAACAACTAACTGAAACTCATTCTGAATCAGAGTGACAAAGTGAACATATTTCCCTAATCTTTTCCATACATTTTTCACAAGGAAGATATGATTTATGTCTTCTTCGTGTGTTTTGCACAAGGCACACCTATTTGACACAAGACCCATTTTACTTAGTCGAAAGCTCTTTCTATGTAAAAAGTACGTGCTGAGATTCCAGGGATAATGCAAATGATAAGTACACTGTACACAATAATAGCAGCAGACAATTGGCCGGTAACTTCAAATCACAACTTAGTCATCAGATTAATCAAGTAACACTTTTAACTCTACAGGATTAACAGTATACATTATCACCTCTATTCTCCATCAATCAAGTAGTGTGTACACAACACGATTTTAACTGCTGCTACCGTTCTGTTCCGATTCTTCTCCATCGGACTCGGTGTCAAAGTTCACATCTCGAGCTTCTGCAGAATCATTTGGGTTGCCTCCTTGCAAGTTATCTTGCAACCCTTCTAACACATACGGTTCGACCAGCTTCCAAAACCATGTAGAACTGTTGCCAAAGAAACCAATCCAGAATACCCTACCTTTTCTCTTCACTCTGCACTCGAGGGATCTGGCTCGTAGTGCTTTCACAACTTTCTCAACTCCCTCATTGTCTCCCTTGAGCTTCAACAATATGTCCCCAGACTGCAATCTATAACCTCCATACATGTACCAGTATGCTAGAGCACGGGGCGACAGCCACCGATGAATCATCTTCGGGATCATGGGCCGACCTCTCGGCCAGAATTGGTCAGCATAGAAACCAAAATAAGAATGGGCGATGGTGGAAAATCTGTAAGGTACGTCATCACCAGAATCATCCTTACACCTGCAAGATGGATGCAGCCACTCGTGATACTCGTCGTACAAATGTCGTCTCAAAACTGAATGCGTGCTGGAATTCTCTTTCAGCACGAACTGGATCATGTGTTTCTTCCTCGGTTCATCCGAGTCAATTTGCAGACCACCCAGCAGTAATCCAACCAAAGCTTCTCTTTGCTCAGCACTCAACTTGAGGCTCACTGGCTTCTTCACTTCTTTCCTTGTCAAGCTCAGAACATATTCCAGCTTCTCCATTGATGATGGTTCAACATCATACCTCTTCTTGCACATAAAGTCATATACCTTCTCTGCTTTCAAATGGTTTCCAGATGCAAGATACCCAGAAAGAATGGCGTTACATGATCCGGGGCCAACTCCAATTGCTTCGATACTCTGCATGTGGTTGAATATCTCCTCTGCTTTAGAAAAGTTTCCTGCTTTCAGCAACGAATCCAAGTAAATATTGTAGATAGCCCGGTTAGGCCGGCATTTCTCCAGGCACTGAAGGAAGGTCGATTCGAGCTTTTCATGCATGCTTAAGTCGAGGTACATGGTCGTCATATCTACATATGATGGTGTAAGGGGCTTCAGACCACTCTGAACCAGTCCTTCCATATGCAGTTCTGCAAGTTCCACATGTTGAGCATTACACAGGACCTCTATTATCTTCTGATAGCCTGTAATAGTAGCACCCTTTAAAAGCTCTTGCATGCTCCTGAATGTCTCCAGGGACTTCATGGGTTCCCCTGCCTTTGCAAATACTTCCATTCTGTATACAAAAGCCAGAGAAGGGATGCCACCATTACAACTGATTAGTTTGAGCCAAGTCTTTTCAGCTTCCTCCACATCGCCGTCCTTTGAGCATGCTCTCAAGATAGACACCAGCACATCTTTGCCTTCATCTATTCCCGCTTGCCCCATCTCTTCCCTCAATTGCATAATTCTCTCTTTGTCGATAACTTCCTGATAGCTGTGTAGCCAAATTAGGCCGCCATATATATCCTTTTGTACCTCGAGTCCAGTTGTCACCAAGTTATGGTAAATGAACTCTGCCTGTTTGAGATAATTCTTTGATTCTTCTCCAGGTTTGGCTACCAGGGCTTTGAAAAGAGAATTGTGCAGACTGAGTCGTGGGCTATAGCCTCCCAACTGAATCATCCGATTGTAAATGGTACATGCTTCATCCAAGCAACCTTCAATGGATGCACCAAGATATGCAACAACCAAAATGTGGAAAGTTGATTCACTAGGCACTCGGCCTTGATTGATGATATCGTCGAATATTTCTCGACATCTTAAGAACTTCCGCTCCTTGCCCAAGTAATCCGCTAGCTTCGTAGCCAAAGCAAAATCGAATCGGTACCATCGTTGCAGCATCATCCACTTGTAAACCTAACAAAATAAACCACAAGACCTTTGTCAGCACACAATTATGCCTTCATCTTGCCAAAATGACACTTCAGGCTTTCAATGGGAATTCAGCAAGCAGGGCAAACTCAATTGCACTGAACTAAAATTAAAAACCCACATTGGGTGAGCATTACCCAAAAGAGAAGGAAAAATAAAGGTTCAGTCTTGACGGCAGAGGAAGCAGTACCTTGAGAGCAGCCTCGTTCTCGCGGATGCGTGTGCAATGAACTACAACGTAAGTAGCATCATCCTGCCTCATCCATTTCCTCTGGCCATTCAGAATCCGCACCACGGACCCTGAGTTGTGCGCCGGAAGCTCCTTGCACAGCCACGCCAGTCTCGACCTCCGCCATTGCTCTGGCACCTCTTCCAACTCCTTCACCTCCACTCCAGGGGACTCCAAGTGCTTCGTGTCCCTACCCGCAAGTACCGCGCCTCCACCTTCGAACTTGAAAGCTCCCGGCTGATCATCGAGCTTAAACACATCGCTCCCACTGTCGTCATAATTCGAGAAGTCCCAGTTTTTCAGAGGTTCTGAACTCTGCGGTCCGCACGCCAACTGTTCGACGGAATGACTGAGACAGTTCACCTGCTGAAGTGAGGGAAAAGGCTGATTGGCTTTAGCTGCCCCCGGGTGAGACCGTAGGAAGAGCCGGCGTTGGTAGTGCGTACAGTAGTTGCAGAGGGAACGGCGGCGGGGGAGGTGAGAGAAGGAGCCGGCGAGGGAGCGGAGGAAGGAGAGAGGAGGGGATAGAAGAGAAAGGCGCATGTGGGAAGAGAGACTTAAGAGGGAATTAGGGTTTGAGGAAATATGAGGGATGGTGAGGCAGATATCTTGAGCTATGGGGCTAAAGTTCATGGCTTCGGCGGTGGCGGGGTTTTAGGATGGGGCAACGCCGACCGGGAAAAGTGGGAGGGTTGTGAGTTCCGGCGTGAGTGGAATTTCAGGCATCCATCGGTAGGGGTTGTTGATTGTTGTCAAATGGCAACCGGGACAATGAAGTTCAATTATCATTGATATGAAACAAGTATTTTTATTTAGGGTTAATACAATATATTAGCCACATCTATTATGAAGCGGGGAATGATAGCCACAACTATGAAAATTCAAATTATTAGCCATAACTATTGTTGAAAGTCAAGATATTAGCCATAATTATTGTTGCAGGTCAAGATATGGCTAACTGTCTGTTACTGTTATTGAATTTTTGACGGAGAAGGCCACGTCATCGGCCACGACAGCGGCCACGTAGGAATGGTTTTGGTTTATAACTTGAAAACATAAAAGTTTAGTCAGTATTACTAACGAAATTGTTAACAGATAGTTAACGTTTGGCTAATAATTTGAATTTCAATAGTTGTGGCTATAATTCCCCGCTTCATAATAGTTGAGGCTAATATATTGTATTTACCCTTTTATTTAAATATTGATGGAGATTATAGATAGATTGTATTTAAATAAATTATATAAATGCAAGATCCACTTGTTATTGATAGTTTTTCATTTTCTCGTATGTTTTTTCAACACAAACATATAGGCTGGTTGTACATCGATCGGATCATACCACTTGTTAAACCTGTCTAATGAAATAAACCGGTCTAGCAACCTTGTTAATCGACTAAATGGTAGTGAACTTTATAGCTTAACAAATCAACCACCAAACTTCTTCATCTTGTAATAAAACTAGCTTATAGCCCGACCTACTGATTAGGGCAACTTGGTACTTATGTAGGTGTACCAAACTTTCAGGTTTATATGCGAAATGAGTAATTACTTCTCTTAGTATTTTGATCAACAAATCTTGTAAAACACCAAACAACATACATATACTTGTTCTCATATCCAATCCAACTACATTTTTCAGAATAAGTCTTTTTCATATAAGAAGTCCATGAAGAATCGAGAGTTGCTTTCATGATATGTGTTTTTTCGGCGAGGAAAATCTGATGTTTGAACTCAACTAATGCACCTTGACTTCTTGAACAATGAAAATCAATACAGTTCACACCTCTCCGAACAATTATCGAATGAGGGTTTTTGATGGTTTTTTGGGAACAAACTACGTTAATTACACCTATTCCTATGGAGGTTCAGTGAGAGCTCCGAAAAACTAAAAGCTATGGCTAATTTGCAGAGAAAACGATAAGCTTGACATAGTGTGCCAAATGTTTGAGTGTGCAAGGACGTCATGCTTGGCACCCTGGTGCTTGACCCTCCTGGTGATTGTACGTGGGTGGTTAAATGTTTGACTACGAGGCCCCCCTTGCATGACATCAGGCTTGACCGCCTTGGATGATGTCATGTTTGACCCCCTTGTAGTTGGGTCCCAACACTTAGCCAAATTTACCCTCCTTTGACCCTTGTGGTTTGGTCTCGACACCTAACCAAATTTCGCCTCCACAATGTCTGCTTGAGTGGTCGACCCTTGACCCCCTTGGATGATATCATGTTTGGTCGGTCAAGGGGTGTGTGTTGTGTTGTGGTACATGTATGAAGTCCAAGATACCATCATTTAGGCCAAGTTTAAACCAATTTAATTAATATGATTAAGTTGGTCTAATAAATCACTACCACTACTTGAAAATAATTTATGTGGTATCAATTAATTTTTTAGTTGTAAAATGCTTGTTAATTGATGGAGTTTATGGTGTGATATTAAATAGAACATCACTACCAGTAAAGAAGTTCAATCTGAACAACGTAATTGTCTAATGGTGTTGTAAGAGAATTTTCTAACAGATCCTTAGGCTGCAAATGAAATGGCAAATAACAGCATGCAAAATTGTTGAAAAAGTAATACTAATTAGTGTGGTATTAATTGATTTTCGAACCTTTGGGATTGCAAGAGGTGCTGTTGATTGTAACTTTGCATGCTAAAGAAAGTTTCTTAATGGAGACAACGAAAACCTATCTAAAAGGAAATCAGCAACCTTTTAGTGGCATTTACACTTGTTAATTGTTATTTAGAGCACAAACCCTAAATGAAATTATCGCGGGCAGAAGACATCTTAACCCTTCAACATCTTTGTGTTAATCGACTCTGAAACTTGGTTTAACTCATGCAAATGAGTTAGCACGAATTGCAGCATCATTAATCTAAACTACCCTAAAAGTTCATAAAAACATGTACAAAGCTTGAATCTTTTCTCTTGTACAAAAGACCATATGAGCTTAACATCAAGAAAAAATATGAAAGAAGCTACAGGGGAAAACAACATGAAATTCACTATCTGATTATTTGACTCAACTAGCTTATTAATCAATTTAATTCTCCTTAAAATTACCGAGGCTGTCTCTAGGATGGTAGATATCTCTCTTAATACTCACTACGTATTAAGTAGCCAAATAATTGTTTATTCCTGTACAACCAACTAATTAACTAACTATTCTGAAGTCCGATAGCTCCTATATTTAAATATTTTTATAACATTATGACAACAAATTTTTTGTAATGTAATAAGGTGTCAGTTACAACTATCCGAGGTGTGTCGGAGGTCCTGCATTCAAATTTATTATACCGAAAAAACGTGGATTCCTCACAAAAATTTCGAACAAATCATTAACGAAAAGTATGACAACTAGATTAGTGTGAAAATAAAAAAGTCATTGGTTCGAGTTTGACAATCACGTTTTAATAGGCCGGAATCCTATTAAACGCTCTAATTTTTTAATATGGTAACAGAGGATGTTGATTAAAGTAAGGATGATGTTTTTTAGTTTGGTCAAAAAAGTATGCCTCTTCGCTCAAGCTTTGCCATAAAAAATGGGCCATAGGCACACATTCATGTATATACCATAATTTTTTATGGAAGTATATAAATTATTTATGCAAATCAGCTTGTATTAAAAATATAATAAGAAATGCTTGATAGAAAACAGAAATACACGTAAAAGAACAATATAAATATGAAAATTATGAAAGGAAATAATTTGTCTTCCAGCAGCTCTAAGAAATCATATTTGATTTTTCGATATCGATAAATGTGATACTAGTACTACTAATATCTTTTGTAAAAGTTTGTGTGAGTATTGTGTAAGCTACAAAATGGCTTTAGACAATGAATCCTCTTTTCCCTTACATTATTAGTACCATTGTTTTTGTTGTGCAAGTGTTAGGCAACACATGATAAAACTATATCAACAAACCATAACTTTATTCCTAAATCTTGAAGGAGTATCTATTGTAAGTATCTTAAAAAATCTTAAAGCAGTTTTAGAATCCCACCCCCTCCACGTAATCCTCCTTCAAACGACAAAGATCCACGTCGGACATTTAAAAGGCCTCTCTTCCGCCGAATAAACATGCCTCTCCTCCTCCCCTTTCCCCTTCGACAATTTTATAACGGTGTCTCCTCCTCCACTATTCTTCCCCAAACGCCATGAACCCAGCTTCCATTCCGTAGGCCCTAAGACGATGCCAAAGATTCTTCCCTTTTCCTCCGTCAATTGGTATATGTTAGTGCGGCCAAATTCCATTTTCCGCCATGGATCCAGTTTGTCCTTCTTCATTCCTCCGCGCCCACCGTTTGAAAGAGCCCAGATTCCTCCGCAGGCGGCCGTCTTCCGAACACCGCCATCGTTTCAATCGGTCCCCTGTGGACTTCTTTGTATTCCCGCAGGTAATTTCATCTTGGAGTAAAATCTGTGCTCGAATTTGTTCTATTTTGTACCGGTTTTAAGGCTTCTCCAACATCACTTTACAGTTTGAGGAGATATTTCGCCCTCGAAAGTGCGTGTTAGACTTCCGCCTAATCTGCGGCGCAAATGTATCTTATTAGTCTCCTTCTCCTTGATATGGCGATCATTCTTTTTCACCCTTTTCGACCCATATGTATTACCTATTCTAGATGATTGAATGTGCTCGACTATTATCTTGCTTTTTAATAATTGTAGGATGAATTTATAATATTTGTGAAGAAGTACTATCTAGATTCTGCGTCACTTCCCAGATAAGGGATTATGTTCCCACTTTTCTATTTCTTTTTCAGTTTTTGCACATAATTTGGCTTAATTATCTCAAACCAATGTCATCTATTCATTGCTTATATGTGCTGAACTAAGTTATGATAAGCTTCAGGGGAGCCACTCCACTGCCCACTCCACTCATCCAAGTTACTGAATTCTCTCTATCACCTTTTGAACTCCAAGCAACCTCAAAGACATATCTACTTACTTCACTGTTTTCTTGACAACCATACAGGTATACAATTAATCTGTTGGATGAGGAAACCGCGAGCAATGTCAATTTCGTCCTACTAAATGATGCAGACTGCAAATTCTAGGGTACCACTACCACACCACCTAGAAGAGTCTCTGAACTCATTGGAGATATCAAGAAATTCAATGTCAAAGTCAGTAACTTCAACATAGACAAGAATTCCATCACTAAACTGATGGAATGTGATTTCAAAACCGACGAAGGAAACCACTAAAACACAACCAAGGTAATCCTCCAACTATTTTGCTTTTCTCATTTTCAAAACTATACTTACAACACTACAAAGTAGAGACATTGGCATGGTTAGTTGAATGGGCTTCCTATGTCATTGAATGTGTTCCATCCATTAGATTTTGCGACATCAATCAACAAGTTAGATAATAAGTTCGACTCTTGATAGTTTCTTTTCACGATAACTTAGATAGATAGTAGGTTCAACTATAGATAGTTAGTAATGCCTTTCCATCATGGTGTCCTTGGAAAGAGAGTTACATTTAACCGAATGTGATAGCTCCCACTAAATGGGTCCATTTTCTTCTGACGATCAATTATGCATGCTTTTAGCTCACAATTGGTGATGCAACAAAGATTAGGAATCATACACATGTTATCAACACAACTGCATGGCCAAATAATCTTATAATTTGTTTTAAGATTCCATGCTTATGTGTGCGACAACAAATTATCACGATATCCCATACAATCTACTGGTTAGCGGGGGGATTTCGAAACATGTACGAGGGGGAAGCCTGACTGTTTGGTTGTCAGGAAAAGTTAGAACAGCCCAATATTAAGGAGATGTTAGGAGAACCTGGTGATGGAAAGGTAGCCTTCCCTGAATTAGCTTCTGTGTTGGCACTTGACAGTCAGTAATGTGCAAGAGTAGTTGAAGTTTCGCTTAGCTATAGATAAGATATGTACATTGGTCACTAAACTTGCATATGATGCTTTTGATCCTTCTATAAAATGCTACTTGCTAATTTTGCATGGTGTTTTCATCTCGAATGAAGTTCTTTTGCCTCTTTCACCTTATGTGAGCTTCACTTTCTAATTTCTATTCCTATTATTTATTTATTTATTTGCCGCTTTTCTGTTTCTATCTCTGGCTCAAGGTTACATTACCTCCAGCGCTTTGGGGATTTCCAATTTATGGCCTGCAGAGTTGGTAGTGGCCGATTTAATGCAGGGGGTTCCCTCCATCTGAATGATGATGGAGAGGATCCAATTTGTTGTGCTTTTTCTTTGTGTCTCTTTCTTTGGTTGGTCAAGGAAAATGCAAAAACCACAGAGGGAAAACATCACACCACTACTAGGGTCATTTTTAAGAAACTTTCATGCATTTATAAAAAAAAAAACTTTCATGCATTTATAATCATCGAATATAGCATATTGAATAACTCATTGCAGCATAACTTTGGAACTGAGGTTCCTGACTATGTCAAAGCAAGCAGCAGCACCAGCCAACGACAACATCAAAATAATTAAACAAGAGCCAGGACTAGCAATGGAGAACCAAAGCAAAAAAAAACAGCCGAGGCTTTGGTGATATCAGATTCTGAGCAACAACACAAACCAAGAACACCACCAAGGACCAAATGTCACCACCTATAGACTACTACTATGATGGTTATGTCTTCGGTGCACTCACTTTTTTGGGTGCATTTAATGCACCCGTCTTATAATCGTCATTTTGAGCAGGCGATTCATGTGAAAATGATGTCAATCATCACTTGTGGTATGATGAACAAGAACCACATGAATTTGTACACAAATCATTCAAGATTCACTTTAATTTGAATGATTCAGGGTTTAGGAATTAGGGTTAGGGTTAGGGTTTACAATTTGGGATTTTGGGTTGAGATTAAAAATTGAAGGTTAATAGGTTAGGGTAATGGGTTGATTAGTTGGGGTTCTATGTTATATCATCATATTAGACTAATACAACCCATTAAATTTCAAAATTTAATGGATTATGACCACTTTTAGATGTGGGTGCACTGAATGCACCCAAAAAAGTGAGTGCACCGAAGTAGCCACCTCTACTATGATAAATATTCCAGAATAATTTATCTTCCTAATGTAAAAAAACAAAAGCCTTCAATTGTATATGAATAAATTGTAAAGGCAAATCTAAGCTACTGCTATAAATTGATAAATAAGGTTTTATTTTCCTCTTACATTAAAAACATAACCCCTTAATACAAGGTCTGTACTTCTATTTCTTAAAGCTTATTGGTAACCTCGTGTGTAACTAAAGCGCAAACCAAAATGACATGAATAGAAAATTTATTGGTGGTACTGAATTGTGTCATATTGACGTCTAAAGGATGCAATAAAACACAAACCCCAAACGAAACCTCCCTTCAATATCAACACACAAGATAATTACCGGGAAAAAAATATCAATACACAAGACAAACAAACATAACACACAAACACCACGCAAAACACGCGGCCAAAGGCCGGGCACCCAGCTAGTTTAATCTAAAGCCCATTTAGAATGTGGTTACATTTCTCATTTTCTTTCTGGTGGCTCTTCATCCATAATTTTGAAAAATCATTTCTAGAAATGAATAGCCCTCAAATGATTTAGCCGTCGATGTTGACTCCAAATTTCTTATCACATAATTTTCTTTTTTAAATCGCATACAATAATCAATAATTCGATATCATTGTCTTTCAATTGAATGTCAAAACTCCAACAATGTATTACATGTCGTCAAGCATTGGTGTCTGAACACTTACATATAGGGATTGATTATGACAAATGGGTAGAGTATGTAATCTCTAATTACTATTACTATTATTATAAAAACCTAATCATCACAATCCAATTAGTCAGAACATAGTTCTTTCTGCAGCAACCACTTTGTTACTATAACTGAATAAGTAAGCATGGGGAAAAAAGAAGTCAATTAGAAAAGGAAGAAGGTGGAAAGAAATTAAATACTATACGACTAAAATAATTAAGAAAAAATATATATATTTAATTGAATTAGGTTTTCTGCCCATCCTGTAGCCAGTGGCCAATAATGACAATGATAGTAGCCATTCTTTCTTCCTTACTTCTCAATCCACCAAACCACTACTATACAGGGGATGCAGACGACAGCTCTCTGGCGTTCGTTTCAACTGATTTTTTGGATCAAAATGGAAAGCAAACCGCTGAAGCAACATAAACAACTCACAATTTAGACATTAAAATATCAGGAGGGGGGAGAAAAAACGAAAAGGAAAGAAAGAAAAGGAGGGAGGAAGAGCAGGAAAGCAACTCTACCCGTCAGAAAAAAAAAGCCCCATCATCTCTGGTTGGTGAAATTTTCACGAGCTTCCCCTTCTTCCCCACTTTTCCCACATCTCCTTTTCGTTATCTTCTGTTGTGGCAGGAGATGGGTTCGTTTCTGTGAGTCATCAATCCCTGAATTGCCTTTCAGCAGAGGAGATATAATAAAAACCCAGGAAAGAAGGGGGAGGAGAAAATGGATCGACAAGCTATGACTGTTGGACCAGGGATGGATATGCCGATTATGCACGACAGCGATCGTTATGAGCTGGTTCGGGATATTGGGTCTGGGAATTTTGGGGTGGCTAGGCTTATGAGGGATAAGCAGAGCAACGAGCTCGTTGCTGTCAAGTATATCGAGAGAGGTGAGAAGGTTAGTCCTCTGGGTTTTCTTTCATTTTGGTTTCTTCTTGATTTTGGCAGGGTTTATTATCCTGAGCTGCAGAATTGTGAGTGGAAGTATGTTCCAATTGATGGGTTTCAATGCTATTTTTTTGGCGGGTAATTTTGTATGTTTGTAAAAGCTGAGATCTTTGGGTTAGTTTCTGCAATTGTGTGCGTGGTTTTGATGGTTTGAACTATGTTTTATTTGCAGTGGATATGCTTATCAGACTTGGGATGTTTCAGACTTTTGAGTAGTGTTGTTCTTCTTTTCCTTTTTTCCACCAGAGTTATGATAAAGCCTTTTATTGGGGGTTACTCTGGCGAAACTGATGAGAGATACAAGTAGTTATGAAGATGAATTTGGATATATAGTTCCCAGCTTTATAGCCTACGTGCAAAGTTTTGCACGAAATGATCAGCTTGGCTCCATTGTTTTGGCTGGAACTTGAATGGTAGAAACGGAAGTTGTTATCAGTTATTATCAAGAACTGAAACAGCATAAGTAGCAGAATATGGCAAGAAACGTGGGATCTTCTTGCTGAAATTTTCTATTTCTAGGAATTGGTGGATTGACTGTCATTTTCCATTCTAATATATTTGTTTGACTTGTACTACTTCTGGTCATGTGCCACAGATAGACGAAAATGTGCAGAGGGAAATCATCAACCACAGGTCATTGAGGCATCCCAACATTGTTAGATTCAAAGAGGTGTGCTGCTACCTAAACCCTTTTCCTTGTGAGAACCCATAGTTTTGGATTAGATAACTTAATGAGGCAACTAAAACAATTCAGTGTGTGCTGTTTAGGTCATCTTGACACCAACTCATCTGGCGATCGTCATGGAATATGCATCTGGGGGAGAGCTGTTTGAGCGGATATGTAATGCGGGTCGCTTTAGTGAGGATGAGGTTCTTACACTCTAATGTTTTTGTTAATCATGCTTTGATCTTGTGAAGAAGTTCATTGATATAGTGTGATACTTGCTTGTGATAAAAACAGGCGCGTTTCTTCTTCCAACAGCTTATATCGGGAGTCAGCTACTGTCATGCAATGGTGAGTGAAATAAGCTTAGCTATCTTGATTAAGATTCTTGGTACGAAGAAGAACGTGTCGACTAGTTACTGAGATCTTGAATCTGGTTGGGGTTGTTGCATTCTGAAGCAAGTATGCCATCGTGACTTGAAATTGGAGAACACATTGTTAGACGGCAGCCCTGCACCTCGCTTGAAGATTTGTGATTTTGGCTACTCCAAGGTGCATAAGTCATATTTGCTTTTTGCTCAACTTCTTTCATTTTCTTCTGTAATGTGCTGTACTGTATATAGACTTATCTGTGTGCTTTGTTGGTGTTTGACTTTGACAGTCCTCGGTGCTCCACTCACAGCCAAAATCTACTGTGGGAACTCCTGCATATATAGCTCCAGAGGTATTATTGAAGAAGGAGTATGATGGCAAGGTAAGTTTATGCTTTATCAAGCTGAACTAGAGAAGCAACGTGCTGCTTACTTCTGTAAATCTGAAAATAAGGATGGGAATTCTTCTTCTTAATCAGATTGCAGATGTATGGTCTTGTGGGGTAACTTTATACGTTATGCTGGTGGGAGCATACCCATTTGAGGATCCAGATGAGCCTAAGAACTTCCGAAAGACGATACAAGTAATGCACACATTCACTACACATAAAATTATAATATTATTGCTGCTAACCCTAATGAAGATACTAAACACACAGAATTCTGTTATGTGTTGCAGCGGATTTTGAATGTGCAGTATTCGATTCCTGACTACGTCCACATATCTCCAGAATGCCAGCACTTGATCTCCAGAATATTTGTAGCTGACCCAGCAAAGGTCAGTGTTTTTCTGTTTTTGGTTACTTCTCCTTGACTGTGTCTTCTAAGTTCTATCTAGGCATTGTGTGGTACGCGAAGCTTGTTCCCTGTGATTCTAAGAATAACTCATTTTCCCTTCCTTCTGGATTGGCCTTTGCTTTTGGACAGCGGATAAGCATACCAGAGATTCGGAACCACGAATGGTTTCTAAAGAATCTCCCAGCTGATCTTATGGACGACAATACGATGATGAGCAACAACCAGTTCGAGGAGCCTGATCAGCCTTCCCAGAGCATTGACGAGATAATGCAGATCATTTCAGAAGCCACGATTCCTGCAGCTGGGACAAGAAGTCTGAACCAATGTCTGACAGGGAGCCTGGACATTGACGACGACATGGAGGAGGACCTCGACACTGATAATGACCTCGACCTGGACAGTAGTGGGGAGATAGTCTATGCCATGTAAGAAACTGCTATTAGTTCACTACTGCATGGCATGGAAAAAGATGGATGATGGTGAAAAAGGGGTAATAATTTGCAAGGAAACGGAGAATGGAAAGTTGAAGGAACATTTTGTTTTCTGTGATGGAAAGTGTATCTAAAGAAAGCATGTAATATGTTATATTTGAAGAACTCTCTGTTTGGAACTGTTCAAAAAATGTATTTCAAGCCTCCATTGAACATTATATGGAAGGTGGTGTTTGTACTAATTGGTGAATAAGCTGTGTTACGTGACAAGTGAAGACGACTGTCATTGCATCAGCATTTCATTCCTTAAATGTCTAAATATTGTGAGATCTGCTACAAATCATTGAACTAAAATCTGTAACAAATTGCAGACTAAACAGAGTAATATGCAACAAAATATGCACTCTGTCTTATGTGGTTCGATATATCGTTAGTTTGAGCGAGTCAACATGCCAAACTTGTTTGCCAAGTCACTGAGATCATATAGTCAACAATAATGCACCCTAACCCTTTCAGACTTGGAGATGGTTTGAACTCGGTTCCTAGCAATGCTCATAGGCTCAGAGTTGGATATGGGTCAAGTTGGAGTAAATGGCAAGATAAGACTGGTTACTTGGTGTGTTAATGACTTAATGCACAAGTTTTGTGACACATAAGAGTCTATAACCATGCTTACTCAACCAAACTCAATAGATGAAGCATTGAAGTTACAATTTGTTTTCTCTTCATCAAATTAGCCTTTTAGTTAAGATTTTACCAATTAATGTGCGAGAAGAATATATTAAAACAAAGTTTGAAACTTGTCAGTAACAATTGTATTTGTGGTTTTGAAACTTGTCAATAAAATTCTATCTATGGTTTAGTTTACATTAGTCTCACACAATATAGATCCCCAGTTCATCTTCTGATCTGGAGTCAGACGCGATATAGAGATCCTGTATCAGACAGACATCCAATAGTTGAAATTATGAGAAATCAGAGAAGGCAATGTAGAGAAATCAGCATCGATAGAAGTCATTCTAATTGTTTGTTACACAGCTTAACCCAATTCAGACATCCAATAATCAAAATCTTAGGCAAAATTTCGCAACATCATAAAAGCCTAGACATAGTTCTTTTTCGACCCTGCAAATTTAGTATACAAGTGCAGAACGGATAATCAGGGGGCAGACAAGAAGACACCATAGATAGCTGGACATACAAAGTTCAAATCTTCATTCTCTTTTTCAAGACTCAGAATGAGGCGCTTCTTTTTTCACATCATTGCTTGAGCCATCTCCCGATTGGCCACCATTTTCATTGTTGGTCGTAACCTCATAACCTCCTGATTCTGTAGCACCATTGGCCGCTGTCCCTGTCTGGGGAGTTGTCTCAGCCTGCTGTTGCCCATAACCGCCACTAGAATATGCACCTTGACCATAGTCTCCAGCAGCAGGAGGCTGAGCAGCATACCCACCTTGTCCATAATCTTGCTGAGTGGCTGTCCCGTAGGCCGCTTGTGAGTAACCGGTCTGGTCATAACCTGTTTGAGCAGCTGCTGGTTGCCCTGGGTACCCAGCAGAATTCCAGTAAGGATGATTATAGGCAGCCTGGGGATATGCAGGAGCTTCTTGACTCGGCTGAGATGATGCTACCGCCCCATCTGTACTTTGCCCATAACCAGAAGTTGGATATGGCTTTTGCTGGTCATGTGTTGGAGCTGCCTGAACCTGTCCATAACTTGAAGGCTGTTGACCATAACCCTGACTGTAGTTGTTGGCTGCAGCCCCGGGTGCTTGGCCATAGCCATAGTTGGGATTAACTTGAGCTGCCCCCATTTGTGGTTGTTGTCCATAGTAACCATAACCAGTCGATTGGTGAGGCGGTTGAGGAGCAGATTGATTTGACTGGTCCCAGGCAGGTGGTTGAGCAGCATAGTTGCCATAGTATGCAGGGGGAGTAGGATGAGTTCCGGGCTGCTGATAACCATATTGGGCCTGTTGCTGTTGCATCGGAGGCTGTCCTCCTGCAGCCCAGTAAGGAGGCTGCTGATAAGCTTGTTGTTGGTATGTGTTAGTTCCACCAGAAGTTAGGATCCGTTTCTGCATTAATTAATCATGTTAGGCGAAAATAACTAACTAACAAACATTGCCCAGTCGAACTTTAAAGTCAACCTTACAGTTTCGCCGAACATGAGTGGCCTCATTGCTACATATCTATTCATCTAACAATGATGCTAAATAGAAGCAACCAGAAGTTGTGACAGTATATTACTTATTGTGCACTAAAGATGTTAACTGGGAAAATAGAGTATGATGACTTACCCCATTAACTACCTCGTTTACCAATTCTTTGGCTGCCTCAATTTGTTCTGCAGTACCATTTATGTATATAGTTCTCTCGGTTGTTGGATCACCAGCAGGAAGGTGCAAGGGAATAATCTGAAGATAAAGCATGTCATCCAACTAGCAAGAAGGTACTAAAAGCCAGAATATAAAATTTGACAACTATTAGAGACATCAATAAGGACTGAAACGTAGGTATAGTAATGTGCGCATCTCCATTATAAGGAATGCGAAAAAGTAAATTTCATTGAACACCCCCCATAACCTCCCTACAGAGTTGCAAGTACTTCTTTGAAGATTGATACTCACTACAAATAGACAAGAAATTGCTATAGCTCAATTAAGAGTCGGGGAGTCTTTTATAAAAGACACTTATGTTCTTCTGGAGGTTAAACATGTAAAATTGCTTAGATCAAAGAAAAGAAAGAAATATGGTACTAGAATCTCTCATAGTCTCTTATTTTATCTACCTTGAGGAAACTGTTGAGCATTTAGGACCGCAACGGAGATTCAAGTTAGTTCTTATGTCATTGATAGTTTTCAAACTCACCTGCATCTTAGCTCCTGATTTGTTTTGCATATACTTTATAGTTTCACCTCCCTTCCCAATGAGCAATCCCACCTACAACCATCAACAACACATAATTCAATGAGAAGGAGAAACATCATTCCTATGTTTGAATTAATACTTAAGAGATAACTATCATGAAACCCACTTTGTCATTTGGAACTTTTGTAGAGTACTGTTCAGCTCCAGATTGCTTTGTATTTGACCCCTGTGAAGAGTTGGAATATGCCCCTGCATCTGCCTGTTCCAGAAATTTAAGCATGATCATAATTAGAACAGAAACCGCCCATGTGCAGAAGAAGAGGCCCACTAAGGGCTTGTTGACTTGGATGGGCCAAAGAAAGAAGGGACTGGGGGACATAAATGTACCTCTGAGATGGCATCGGTTATAAGTTGCTCTGCTCTGCTAATTTGATCAGGAGTACCCGTCAAATCTACATCCCTGGTTAGAGCATGGGGATCGGCTTCCTGGTCCTTTGTAATTTGTATCTTTGCCCCTGATTGAAGTTGAATGTATTTGATTGTTTCTCCTCCTTTCCCTATGACAACCCCCACCTATAGCAACAGGAAGGATGAGAAAACGGTGTGAACTTAGAACTACAAAATGAACCAATTCAATCTCACATACCTTGCCATTGGGTATAGTGATCTTCTTGCTGCTCTGGACACCATACTGACTTTGTTCACGAGCATACGAAACTGAAATCGAATTCCAGTAAGGAATTATTATATGAAGAAATAAACTGGTGCAGTATGGATAGCTCAATTTCTTCAACTACATCAAAGAATAGGACCAGTAGTTTGAAGTCTTAAGTAAGACACACCAACTACCGGATCACTAAGCTCTAACGCACCACTTCTAATTGCAACTACCATAGTTTACCGCCGAACAGCTGCAGTTCAACTCAAAGCTACCATCTGTTTAATTTACAAAAAGCTGCATCCGAGACATGATAAGCAGATCCTTGCAAGCGTTGGACGATAACATGACAATTAGATTTTTCTACGTCCATTATGAAATGTGAAATGCATCAGACTTTCAGAGACTCATACTTCCAACACTCAAAAATTCGTTCCACCCTTTCTTCTTCTAGCGTGATGCATGAACAGAGCAAAACAAACAAAATAAGGCCCCCATTAAATATATCCAAAGTCCAAACACCACATTTCCGGTATTATACACACACAAAAACAAACAGCGCCCCAACCAAAAAAACCCACAAATCCACAAACGTTTGCGAACCCTCGGACAATCCCTTACACGTCACGAGTCACTTCCAAGATAGAGCGCAAAAAAATACAATGCCTGAGCTAAAAACCCTAGAAACCGCGGGCGGAACACAGAGAGAATGGAATGGGGAAGAGGAGCACCAACCAGGATAAGAAGGAGCTGGTGGGGCGGAATTAGACCACGGAGAAGGCTCCGAGGGGTTCTCAGAACCGAGGCGCTGCCGCTTGGGGTCGGCGGCGTCGCTGATAAGCCGAGAGGCGATTTCCTGAGCTTTCTGTTTGGCGAGTTCGATTGTGTCCTCCAGCTTCCTCTTGCCGCTGTCACTGAACTCACTGCGTTCTTCGTCGGGCTGCTGGAGGTGGTCTCCCATGGCGGATGGAAGGAGGGAGGGAGGGAGAGTGCTGGGGTGTTTGTGAGACTGAGCCGCCACCGAGTTCAGTGGCCGACTGTGGAGATGTAATAGGGAAGGCGAAGAAAGGAGCAGTCGTCCATAAGAGAAAAAAAAGGGGGTAAATCGTAAATTGACTCACACAAAGCATTGAAATTCATTATCACTCACTGCCCGCATACACGCGAAACGACACCGTTCTGGTAGCCGCTCCTGGCTTGGCTTGGATTACCCTTGGCCTGTTGGCCATCCTAAAACTGGCGGCTAGGATGTGCTCTTTTGGCAACCCATCTCTATTATTTTTAGTGCCACAAATGAGTCCAAGGGTTCACCAACGGTTTGATGTTGAGTTTGGAAAACCAAAAGTAAGTTAGCCTAACGGTAAAGTTGACGCGACAGTAAAGTTTTGAGAGTTGCAGATCTCAGATTCGAATTCAAGCGAGGCCCGTTGGTGTTCCCGGAAGTACAAGGCTGCTGGGGGCGAAGCCCCGTTGGCGTCGAAATTGATTCCTGGGTAATAATAAAAAATGTTCGGTTTGGAAAAATTCAGTGTTATTTTTTTACAAAAGATAATCACTTATATTGATTAGAATAAAAAATCATTATATTCTGAAATTTAACCAGGTCAGAAAATCAAAGAAGCGACACGTAATCGGGTATAATGTAAGGGTCTTGTTAGCCACCAAATGGGTTACTCTATTACTACTCCGACCTACAAATTGCACAAGAAGCCCATTGTTAGACGCCAAACACCGCAGAACCTCCTCGAGGATGGCTCCTATCCTATTATCGCAAGTATCCGCCTGGTTGAGTTTATCAATGACCTCTTTAGCGTCGCCAGCAAACGTCGTCTTTATGAACCCAATCTCCAGGCACCAGAGGTCAAGTAGCTGGCTCGACACCCATAAGATCATCAAGACCAGAAAACTGCACACCTCTAGACAAGAGGACCCTCCCTTCTTAGTTCATGATAACCATTCCCCCAACCGAGTGAGAACCACACCTAGTCGCCCCATCCAACATACGGGCCACAGAAATTTGGTGCCCTGCTCCCACGGACTGAGCTCGAGTCATCTCAATTTCACTCTTCTGAAACACGAACTTGCTCGGTTTCAACAGCCTCGAGCTTCACTCAATCCCTGCTTGTACGATCCTCACCAATAACTCATGATTCCCAAAAAAAAAAAAAACGTTACTACAATTATGCTGCAGATTTCTCACTTTTGATCACTCAAAACAGGGTATAGCTTGCAAAGAGTGCTCTGATACCATAATGTACACTCAATTTGTAAAGCAAACCGCAAAACTTTTTTGGAATTACCAAAATGACAATAAGTACATGGCACTGGCCACAAGATCGACCTTCACCAACATGTCTAACTCCATATCCCTGGTTTTCAACAACCATCAACAACTAACCAGCTGACTTGCCTCGTTGAAAGCTCTCAACTACTCCATCACACGACTCGAGACCAATTTGCAACAATTCAAAACTTGACGGATTAAAAACAACTAAGACTAACGACACAGCTTTGCTAAGCACGACTAAATTCAAACTTTGCCACTTCAGACTCCAGTCCAGCCACCATGGTTCGAAATCCAACAACAGGAATTCAAAACATACAAACATGCATGTTCTCGGATTATTAGATTCAGATTTGAAGCTAAACAAGTTTGAACTTGATTTGGATTAGGTCAGGCTTCAGGATTGAGGCAAAAAAGGCCTGGGTTAGCTTAGCTCAATTGCAATGTACTGCCAAGGTCTCTGACCAATAAACCTTCTCAACCTCCCTTCGAAGAAATGAAGCCATGCAGCCTATCTGTTGACACATTAGAAACTAGAAAGGAGAAGCTTTATACCCCACTAAACATCAAGTTCAACGCATCATATATCACCAAGAAAGGCATGAGAAATGAAACAGCTTATACTGAAACCTGATGAACAAAAATCACCTGAGTCTAGTATGGAAATGGAGAAGAAAAAACTTCATAGCACTCAAAATTTGTTGGTGGTACAAAAGGAATGTATGCAAGCAAAGCTTCCTAAGACAGAAACCATTGCGACTGCTTAACGAGGATTAAATCAACTGCGATCTACCGCTGAAAATTAGAAGGTCATCCGCTTTCTCGAATGACCTGGGTTGGATGATTGTTATGCATTTCTGGGTCTTCGATTCCACATGAAGGCAAACCACAAAGTCCTCCATAACACTCCATTGGCCATATGTGGAATGAATATGCGGCCCCAGAAAGGGTAATACGGGCCTGGCAATTTGATTAATGCAAAAAGCGCTGCAATCGCAATCAAATGCCATGGAACTTCCGCATCCTGCAAACAACACTCAATTGACAGTTCGATCAGTTTATACCATTTAACTAATTTTCATTCTTCTCTGCCAGTGAGAAAGGAACATCAACTAAAGAACACCACAATTTGTCTCGCTCAAATTTCCACTAGCATCACACAATAATAAAAGTCATTCATGCCATAACCATACTTAAGATCGAATGAGCTCCTACCGAATGTAAAAACTAAAAAACGACCTGACCAAGAACCAAAGAAGATGGTCTAACCTTGAGGAGTGGAGACAGTTCCAAAGCAGAATCTCTTAAGAACCCAGCAACAGCAAAGCCGATAAGTAGTGGAAACGTGACAAGGACCAACTTCTTATGATGGGCACAATATGACATCTCACTCAGGGTGGTAATCAGCAGTAATGGCACAGTCAGGTACTTGACAACAGTCACTGTCAGATCAAGCAGGAGTTGTATGAAGTTGTTGAACGCCGTGTTCCAAGGGAAGCTCCTCACGGGCTCAGGACAACTACCCCACAGTTTTGTTGCTTTGTTCGCTAGTTGCCTTAAGTTTATCCTTTCAGGATCGTCCGACTTTCCTGCAGCCATGCTTATACTGCAAGAGATATTATTAACCCTTGCATGCCTGAAGATTCCATTCGACTTAACAATTGAATTTAAGTAGCAGGGCTTAGGACATGTTGCTGATCCCTGCCACAAAACAGCCACGTATGAGTTCAACAGCAACAAGATGAGAGCCACAAACAAGAAGAAACTGTTGCTCCCAGCTCATGGGATATGCCTAATATTTACAATTCACTGGCCAACTACTCATTAGTAATGAACACCATATAGCCAGATCAACACTATACGAACTCCCTCACATAAAAGCAGTCAGCTTGATAGCTGATATCAGTAGACTCCACATGATTCTCACACATAGAAGAAGAAGCAAACAAATTGAAGGGAAGAAAGTTCGAATCCCACCACACCCAGATCCCACAGAAACCTGCCAGGAAACATGAACAAGCACTTCTGAATCCTAGCCATCGATGCGACAAAATGCGGTTCCTAAACTACAAACCATTGATTCAAAAGTTCCCCCCGGAATGAAATTCCCATGGAACAGACATTCCAGCTAAATAAGAGATTCTATACCATTCCCACATCAGGTTCTCTAACGAGGAGAGCATGTAATTGAACGGATACACGGCACAATTAGCTGATAATGCTAACCTGGAACCTCAAAATGGAGGGAGTACGGAATCCGAGGCTGATGGATTTGGCCGGGGGTTGAGGACGAAACGAGGCATAGAGCGGGTGAGAGAGAGAAGATGAGATCGCCATTCTTCCTGCCGGTGAGATTCGCAAAAGATTTAAACGCGAATTATGCAAAAGCGAGCCATCAGTTGAGAGGAGGATTCTACGGTGGTGGAAGGATAAGGCCCCGGAGGCAGTTCTCCGACTTCAGAGACTAGACCGGTGGGAGGCTTTTCAGTTTTCAGACGGACGGACGGAGGGTTTAAGCCTTACGAGAGGAGGCATCTTGTGGTTGCGAGTACATGTTGGTAGCATGTTCCTTTGCCCAGGGCCTGACACGTGGGTTTATCTGTTGATTGGGAAGTGGTTTATGTTTGTTTGCTTGATGGATTTGATGAAAGATTTTGTGATGGATTTGGATACATGAACTTTGTCCAAAATCCATTGTTTGCTTCAAGTATTTAGAGATAACAAATCCGTGCGACTCATTGACTTTGAGGGTCCAAATTTGTGGGTCCCACGGAGTTGAAAATTTCACCTCTTTAGGTGGGAATTGATCATGGACTTTGAAGTCCATAATTTTTTACCAACTTACCCCTCATATTCTCTTTCTCTTCTAGTCTTCTTATATCATTGAGTGCAATTACGGTAAATTATGCTCCATACATACAAATTTAATCAACAAAATCCATCATGAAAGCCATCAAATAAATAATAGTGTTTATCAAATCCATAATGAACCCAAAACACTCGTATATCCATGTTTTTCTTTTGGATGTAGCGGTAGAACTAAAAAGTTATTTCTTCTAGGGCTAATAGCCTAATACAATTGGAACACACAATCATTCAAAATAGTTTCACTTCTATAACAGGAATGGAAACTTGTTTTTGATAGTGAGTGAGTTTAGTTGTCTATAGTCAACAAAACCATCCAAGTTACATCTTTTTAAGCAGTAACATAGCAGGAGAAAGCAAATGAAGTAACTTCTCGATTGAATATTATAGAAAGCAAGCATTTCATTTACCAAACATTTCATTTCATAATTTTGGAGTCAGGAATCTCAAGTTGACATTGTTATAATTTAGTTATAGAGGTAATGATGTGTGATCACAATGACAATACCTCTGAAAAATCTCATATTTCGATAGGATTGCTAATGTAACTTTATATTTGAGAGCAGCCTACAGGCTACAACAGGTGACAGTGATAAACATTTGCCTGATTCTGAAAGAAAGGCCGATCAGGGATTGAACCTCATATTTACACGAGTAGTTTACAACAAGTAATTACAATTTACACTATAACGCACAAAAATGTTACGCAACAAATAATGGATTTAAAATATACAACAGGTAAATTTGCAACTAGAACAGGCAAGTAACGATGGTTGATATTAGCAAAAGGCTAACCCATCCATCAACCCGTCAGGTTGAGCTTTGCATTGACAACGTTTGTGGAAATCATGCCCATCCTTCTGTCACCTTTCTGCGCATCAAAATGTTACGGCGGTAAATATCCATATATCATTTTTACTCGCAATTCGCAAACACATGAGAACCATACACGAGAGACGAAGTCCATGTTTTCATGGGGAATAGATTAATTGAACTTACCTTGTGAGCTGTTCCATCCATGGATGGAACTTCGGTAGCGCTTGAACTCCCCTTTGGCATGCGAAAGAACCATCTTAGATCGTTGAAGCTTCGAGCTCAGCTCTTCGTTCTGAGCCTTCAGAAGGCTGTTCTCTTCCTGCAAGACACCACAGAATAAGAAGCTCCCTTTAGTAAAAGAAAGTTCAGAAGGGTAAGAAGTAAATAAGTTGATCAGGTGTCATCTTTTAGGGTACTCGCCTTGATTTTAGCATGGTGATGAATGCGCTCCTGGAGGTTCTGCTGTCCAGAGAGCTTTTTAACCTCTCCTTCAAGTTCCATTACCTGTCTCTTGTGGCTCACGGTTTCCATCTGCATAAATGGTGGCGAAAGCTACGCTCATAAGCAAGAAAGAAGGCTGAGAGATCAAAGGATTGATATGCCTAGCTTAAATTGTAATGCGTGATAAGTTTTTCGACCTTTAGCATCTCGTTTTCTGCTTTCAAGAACTGATCTTGCTGACGAAGGTTTTCCAGGGCAACCTGTGCAGCAACCAGCTCGGTCTGTCTTCGATCAATTTCCTCGATCCATCTGCGAAATGAGGTGCATTATTTAGCTGGTTATTATTCCACAGGTGGTGGTCAGAAAAAGAAACTAGTTTTAGAGAAAATGTGCCGTACCCTCTCCGTTCCTCTATGAATTCAGTTAACTGTTTCTTGAGCTGCATAGCGTCTTCATCCTGTATCGCAGGTTTACCCCCCGATAAGTCATTTACAGAAACCAAACTTTCAGTTTCAGTTTTACACAAATCATACCTGCATTTCATGTTTCAAGTTGCTGAACTGAGCTTTCTCGGCAATCTTCTGAAGTTGTTGATTATTCAACAATGACTGAAATTTAACAAACGGGGAAATGTTTGAGCTGTCTCCTTCACTTTTTCTTTCGAGAACAGGTGGAGAGAAGGGTTGAGAATCGAGATTTACCGCATAATTTGTCATGTCAAGCTTCACTCCAAGTAAATCTCGAATGACGTCGTGGGTCATGCTCTCAGCAGCAGCTAATCTGGCGTTCAGTGCAAATATCTGCAGAGAGAAACATACACCCTTCGTTGGGAACTTAAAACTACAAGTTGGCTCAACATTTTTAGTGCAACATTTTTGTTACTTCGAGTGAAATGCTATACCTCCTTCTGACGGCTTCCTGCTAAGCATTCTAGTTCTTCAATGCGTTGACTTGAAGCAATCATTTCCTCATCCTTCTCAGATTTTACTTGTTGAGCCAAACCCAAACCGATGCATTTGAAAGGAGACCCGGTGCCCCTTGGCCTGACAACCATTTTCTCTGGCTTGTTTGTCGTCGAAATATTTGCAGCATGGTTAAAGGACTCCTCATGCTTCACTTGTTCTAGCATAGCTTCCAGTTGCTTGAACTGTTTTCAAGCTTCTTTATTATCCCAAATTCAAAAAAATGGTGGTAACTGAACATTATTGTAACATAAAGGTGTGCTACTACCTTTTGCTTATATTCACTAGCCTGTGCTTCTGCATGCAAATTCAACTCAGAGATATGTGACTTGAATTGGTCAATCTGGAGAAACAAAACACACCAATCGGTCAACCTGGCTTGGCAGAGTTAAACATAGGACCAAAGGGAAACCTTGCCCAATGTAGACCATTTACCTCAGCATCCTTGTCAAATATATCCATCTTGAGAGTTTCAATATGATCCAACGCATCTTCGAGGCCTTTCTTTTTCTCCTCTAAAAGCCTGGAGAAGCAAGATGATCAGTTCCAAATGTAATCATAAGCTCCATCTAGATTATAAATGGATCTAAATGAGCAGTCTTAAACCTTCTCATTTCGGAGCCAGAATTTTCAAAAGTCTGCATTTGATTCTTTAGAGAATGAATTTCCACTTCTAGATCTTCTCTCTGTAATCTTTGTCGTTCAGCTTCATCATTTAGAATATCAACCTAATAATTGGAGACGACATAAAGAGGTGATTACCAAAAAGTCATGGAACGAATAAAAACTACCTAAAATCCACAACTCTAACCTTGTTTTCCAGCACATTGATAGTGCATTCTAGCCCTTCAACGGATCTTTCTAATAGCTTCACCTCAGCCTCTTTGTCCTCTGCATATAACTTCCGGTATTCGACTTCCTGCATCAATATGAAAAGAGATAAGTAGCAACCAGGTGTTTGAACATGTTTACTTTATTCATTTGAGGCTATAAATACCTGTTGAGCAGCCACTGCAGCAGCTTCTTTTTCTTCGGCCACAGTCTCTGCCTTTTCAAGTTGTTGTCTCATAGCATTCATCTCCCTGAGCATTTGGTCTCTCTCTTCAGTAAGTTCGTTCAACTTGCTCTGAAGATAATCTGTTTCAGAGTCCATCTGCCGAAGAACATCACCCATTTGAGACAGTTCCATCTCCAAACTATCTGTCAAGTTCTTACTCTGTGCTACCTCCAGCTCAAGAGATGCCTTTGCAGCCTGCAAACCGACGTTTTCGCCAGAACATATTTTCGAAGATTCAGTTTCCTTAGCTAGTTCTTCCTCAAGAGCAGCCACTCTGACCATCTTCTCCTGTAATTGTGCCTCAAGTGTTTGATTATTCAGAATGGCCTCGCCAAGCTCACCCGATTTCACAGCAAGCTCATCCTCTAGAACCTCCATTGCTGCCATGATTTCCTCAATCTCATCTTTCTGGTCTTTCGTATTTGATGCAGACTCCTGCAGTAGGCTCAGATCAAATAACAGTCCTGTTAGAATGTCATCCTTCCTAGACAATTCAGCCTGGAGAGAGACAACGGCAGAAGCCACGTTTTCAGCAGAACATTCCAATGGACCAATCTCCTGGATGAAGTCAGACATGCTCTCTATTTTTCCTGATAGCTCACTGAATATTTGATGTACGAGTTCAGAGCATCCTTCCTCCAGTGCACTGCATACCCTGGAAAATGAAGACTGTATGGTCTCGAGTGCATTAAGACACTCGACATTTCTTGAGCTCAAACGATTGAAGGCTTCAAGAAAGCCTAGCTTGGAAGACCTCAGTTCATCTTGCAAGAGAGCATTCTCATCCTCCAACTCATTCACTCTGTTAAGAAAATGTTGGACATCTTGCCTTTCTGACAACAACTCATACGTGATAGCAGACCGGGAACTCAGAAGTTCATTTACTTCATTGCTTTTCATCTCCAAATCTGCTTGCATATCAGAAACACTAACTTCCAAGGAGTCAATTTTATCTTGCAGCGCCTGCTTTTCCATGTTGGAGACTTCTATAAAACTTCTAGATGATTCAATTTCAGCACTCTTGGACCCTATATCTTCCTTCAGACTCTCAATCATTCTCTCCGCTTTCCAAGTGGTATCTTTTAGATGTGAAGCCAGGAAGCATGATTCAAATTCTTTAGACCAGGTATCCAGTATCAAGAGGTCAGTCTGACAATTTAAATACTCTTCTTTGTCTTTCAGCATTTTCTCTTGATTTAGCAGAGAATTGATCACATCGTTGTTACTCGAGTCTAACTCTTTCATCAAAATAGCAAGCTGAGATCCCATGTAATTTGATCTCTGTAGCATTGACTCCTCTTGAAGCTGCAGATCAAAGATGTGTTTCTCA